CTTACGCCTTTAATCCAAGCACTGGGGTCGCAGAGACAAGCTTATCTCTGTGAGTTCAAGGCCAGCCTGAACTCTGATCTACAAAGTGAGTTCCAGGACAGCCAGAGCTACACAGAGAAAACCTGTCTTGAGAAATAAAAAAAAAACTTGATTTGAGAGATGACTCAGAAGTTAAGAGCACTGGTTGTTCTTCCAGAGATCCTGAATTCATTTCCCAGCAACCCCATGATGACTCAAAACTATCTATAATGAGATTTGGTGCCCTCTTACGGCATGCAGGAATACATGCCAGAACACTTATCTATAATCAATAAGTAAATGTTTGGAGAGAAAAAAAAGAAAAATCAAAAAAACAAACCAAAACAAAAATAGTATAGCTAGATTTGTATAACTAGTTTGGGGTTTTGCTATCTCTGATTCACTCAATGAAAAATTGCATCAGACCTGGATAGAAGACTCAGTCACTTAACAGCACTTGTCGCTCTTGCATAGGACCTGGGTTCAGTTCCCAGGGTCCACATGGTGGTTCATAACCATCTGTAACTCCAATTCCAGGGGAGTCAGTACCCTCTTTTCTGAGGGCACCAAAAATGCATGTGGTGCACATCGGTGCAGACAAATTACACATAAAATAAAATGAATCAACTGAAAAATAAGAAAAAGTAAAAGAAACATTGCATCAGTCATGATCCTTAGTTGTAAGCAGCAGAAAGCAACACTAACTTTGAGTGATGCAGGAAAGAAAATATGTTAAAAAAAAATCAACTCAGCTAGGCAGTGGTGGTGCACACCTTTCATCCCAGCACTTGGGAAGCAGAGACAGTGGATCGTGGTGAGTTCGAGGCCAGCCTGGTCTACAGAGTGAGTTTCAGGACAGCCAGGACTGTTGTTACACAGAGAAACCCTGTCTTGACGAAAAGGTGGGGGATGAACTCAATGAATCAGGGAATACTCTAAGAGATAGTTTGGAAGTTGAGCAGATTGAGAGGAGTCAGGCATAGTCAGAGCCACAAGCAAAGGTATGGCCCAAGCCAGCCCAGAGAAAACACCCCATTGTCTGTAGGACACTGGGCAGTAGAGCCTGCACCGCTGCAGAATCTTCTGTGAGATCTTGACTTTCCCATTATTAGCACCTGATCTAAGTGGAGGTAGCTTGCCCTTCATCTTAGTTGTCCTGGAACTGGGAAAGCAAGCACGTGGACTTTTGCTTTTTTAGTTGCCTTCCACTGAAACATGCACAGAGAATGCTTTACGCACGGAGAAGGAGGTTAGAGGTTAAGCAATCTAAAAGAATAATTAGTGTCCACTCCAAAGTATGTGTACCATCTCTACTCTTGTTTACACAACCTCTAGACACAATATTTGGGCCACAATGCCGAGTTGCTTGGAACTCCTAGATTAAAGTAATCTTTCTGCCTTCATGTTGTGTTCCCTTTTCCTGGGGAGATGGGTGACCAGCTGGGGTACCAACGACAGAACACAGTACAATTCCACCTATTAGAACATAGGTCTGCAACTTTGGCCTCATCTCATAACTTGAATTAGGCCACGCCTCCTTACAGCTTCCTCTGGGACAGAGGGTTAAGAACCTTGTCTGAGGATTAGAGACTCACAGGTAGAGAGCTTGCCATTTCCTCCACAGCAGTTGGAAGGGAGAGGCACCTGCAGGTGGGCATGGCCCAGGCAGCAGTCTGACATCAGGGGCTGCTCATGCCAGGCAACCTCTATCCCTACCTGGAGCCATTGCTTTAGAGAGGGCAAATCTAGTTTGATTTCTCATTCCTCAGGGTCCTTAACTTAGGCAGTTGATCCTGGGACTCTCTGCTCCTGAGTGCTGGGATTAAAGGCCACCACTGCCTGGCTCTAATTGTTCCTTTTAGTTATTCATTCGCTGTTCAAAACTCTACCTCCAAATCAAGCTTCAGTTCCAGGTTTTCTACTCTTGAGTGTTCTGTGACGTTTCCTCACTCCATACTTAGCAACTCAACGTTTTGCTAGTTCTAGTATCGTTTTCTTGGGCTGGAAAGAGGGTTTGGCTAGGATCCACTACAGCAATTGCATCCGTGTAATTACACTACACCTATGCCTTTCTTTGTGTCTATGGTACTGGTGTTTGGTCATTTGTCTGGTGTGTTCAGCGTTTCCCCTCTTCTCTGAAGACTCAGCAAACGATGGACAGACTGAAATCTAAAATGGCAAATAAATTTATAGTGTGCAGAAGCATAGAAACCTCACAAAATGTAAGACTCAAAGGGCCCAGCAATTGGAACTTGGCTAATATCCTGCACTACAGAGAGTATTTGAGTACTATTTGAGGCTTGCGGCTTCTGCTGGCGGGTGGCCAATGGGTGAAGGGACAAATGCACAGTTAAAAGATTGTTTTGCTTTCCGACTCTGGAATGTTAGCACCGCCCTCAGAAGAGTGGTGAGGGCTGGTGGCAGTCTAGATGACCTCATGTGGATTGTCTTTAGGCAGGCATGCCTCGACAGATGCCACTGCTTGTTATCTGCCATACTGATGCAGGTAGATGGACATTTACTACAAGGGAATGGCTTTCAGAGAGACACTGTGTCTGCCCCCCCCACAAGAAGCCATCCCAAAGTATGGCATGAAGTCTATTTCGGGGAGGCATGTATTGGTTTATTTTTTTACACACCGTAAACATCCAGTACTAAATCCTAGAAAGACTGAAGATTAAAGGCAGGAATTTACACATGCTACAAAGCACTCTCACCATAACCATGGTTATTACCCACAGGTCTTTGATGGGGATTAACTGTCACGCCCCTCACATACATGGTTTTGTTTGGAGATGAAGTTTTGATATGTAACGAGGCTAGTTTCTGTTCTTTATTCAGCCTGGGCTAACCCTGAACGTTAGATCCTCTTGTCTTAGTCTCTTGAATGCTGGGCTTACAAGTGCATACTACTAGGCCCGGAATTTTATGCTACTACTTGAGGTGTCTTTCTTTCTTATTCTCTCTTCCTCCCTCCCACCCATCTGTTCATCCATCATTTTACCACATAACCCAGGTTGGACTCATACACAAGGTAAAACTCTCAGACTCCTGAGTGTTGACATCACAGGTATGTGCCACCACACCCGGCTTGAAGTTTTCGTCCATTTGGTATTAGGTATAGAATCTGACAACCAGAAATCTAACTGTATTTGGTTTCATAAAGGAATGATTTAAAAAGCCACACCAAGTCCTTGAGGTTAATAATGGTGGAGGACTTATTTCAACACAGGATCTCATGTTGTGTCTGGCTGGCCTCAAACTTCTGATCCTCCTGCCTCCACCTCCTAAGTGATGGGCCTACACATGTGCACCATCATGCCTGACTTATCTGGTACTGGGGATGGAGCCGGGCAAGGCTTTATGCTGCTGGGAAAGCCCTCTACCCGCTCAGCTACGTCTTTCTTTCTTTGACAAGGTCTCTCTATGTAGCCCAGGTTGGCCTTGAACTCATCAGTTTCTTGTTCCCTATTGCTGGGGTTAAAGGCCTATGCCACCATGCCTGGTCCAAATCCCAAAGAACAAAAGTTCCTTCTGTCTTCTTGAGATGGATTATCAATGTTATTCAAATTAGCTTTACATTGCTTGTCTCAAGCTATCCTCCTGTCTCAGTCCTGATTATCTTTGACTGTACAAATTGCCACCACTCTTGATTTAAGATCTGGGGCTTTTAATTTTGGTGCCGAGGATTGATCAATGCAGGACTGCCCCAACAGGAGCCTTATGATACCCTACATTCCTCTTTTTTTTTTTTTTCAAGACAGGGTTTCTCTGTAGCTTTGGAGCCTGTCCTGGAACTAGCTCTTGTAGACCAGGCTGGCCTCGAACTCATAGAGATCTGATCCACCTGCCTCTGCCTGGGATTAAAGGCATGCACAACCACCACCAGTTTACCCTACATTCTTAAATGTCTTTTTTTTTTTTTTTTAAGATTTATCATGTATAAAACATCTGCCTCCATGTATGCCCACATGCCAGAAGAGGGCGCCAGATCTCATTAAGGATGGTTGTAAGCCACCATGTGGTTGCTGGGAATTGAACTCACAACCTCTGGAAGAACAGCCAATGTTAAGAACCACTGAGCCATCTTTCCGCCCCTCCCCCCTTTTTTTGAGACAAGAGTTTATCTGTGTAACAGCTCTGGATGTCCTGGAATTCACTTTGTAGACCAGGCTGGTCTGGAACTCACTGAGATCCACCTGTTTCTGTCTCCCAAGTGCTGGGGATTAAAGGAGTGTGCCACTCTTGCCCAGGTTCTTAAATATATCTTAAAAAGTAGACTCAGAGCTCCAGGACAGGCTCCAAAGCTACAGAGAAACCCTGTCTCGAAAAACAAAACAAAATAAAACAAAACAAAAAAGTAGACTCAGTCAGCTGTGTTTCTCTCCTCTGGGATTACAGACAGGACCCAGTACATCTGGGTTCAGCTTCAAGACCCAATGCCTTCTATAACCACCAACTAGAAAATTGTGAACATTGGAGTATACGTCTATGGCTTTTTAAAAAAACAATTAAATTTTAATTATGAGTATGTGTACAGTTAGTTGATCACGCAAGCCAGAAGAGGCTGATGGATTCCCCTGGAAACTAAAGTTTATGTGGCGTGGATGGTGAGAACCGGAAAAGGAGCCGTATATACTCTTTACTACCGAGCCATCTCCCCAGTCCTATTTTTATTTTAAAGTCTGAAAATAACTCATTGGTATACAACTCCAGCAGCAGGCGGGGTGGGTTTAAAATACCACACAGCTGTTATTCTTGCTTCCGTCTTGGATACGAATTTGCCTCGTTACCGTTGCGGTTTAACAAGAACAACAAAACTAACTCATCAAAAGCCATTCGCCACACCTGCGCTGCGCGGGCCCTCCCACCCCTCCCCACGCCCCGCGCGCACGCCCGCCTCCTATTGGTTCTATTGGTCCAGAAGGCGGCGCCGTGCGTGCGTGCGCGCTGGTTCCCGGATGGGCCGTGACTTCCGGCACTCTCCCCGCGGGCGGCAGGGGGCGCGCGCCGCGGAACTCCGCTTTGTGGCGGGGGCCTCCTCGGCCCGGGTAGCCGAGAGGCGGCCGGGCTCTCAGCCAGGAGCCGCCGTCGCTCGAGCTCCGGAGCGAAATGGTCGCCGGGCCTCCGCGCGTCCCGTGAAGGGTCGGGAGCCACGCGGGGAGGAGAGGGTAGGCGCCGGGAGCGGGGGCGCGGGGCACGAGGCCGGGTGACCGTTTGCTGGCGGGTGGCCGCGGTGTCCTCGCCGGGCCAGAGGGCGGGGCCTCGGCTGGCGGGGCGCCAGGCGGGGGGCCTCCCGGCAGGCCCCGCGGCGGGGGATGCGGGTGGTCTCCGGGGTCGCTCTGGGCTCCCCGCAGGGGTCCGGGCGACCGCGGGTGCCTGTGGCCTGCACCTCTGGGTGGGGCGGGACCGGGCTGCCCCGAGTTGACTCAGCTTTTCCTGTCGGGCTGGTCAAGTTGGGACACGTTCGCGTCGCCTGCTGGAGGAGCTAAGCCCTGACTTGCCTCCAGCTGGGGCTATTTAAACCCGGCCTTTTCTGCAGCCGTCTGCTGCCGGCGAGCGGAGAGGGGACACCTGTGGCCTCCCCGACTACGGCGCCTCTCCTGCGTGGATCCACGTAAGGGACAACTCGCTTCATGTCCTTTTTTGATTTACGAAAGCTACTGTTAAAGACGTTTTTTGTTTCTTTTATAAAAAAAAGTATTTTACCATTTCAAGTTTTTATCGTCTGTTTTTTTTTTTTCTTTCTACTTGTAGGCCAATGTGCAATATCAACATGTCTGTGTCTACTGATGGTGCCGTAAGCACCTCACAGATTCCAGCTTCGGAACAAGAGACTCTGGTTGGTATTTTTGTCTTGAGTGTATAAAAATAACTTATCTTACTAGGTAGTCAAATAAGACGCTTAAACCCAAGCTGTAGCACAGCCCTAAAATTGTAACTGTATGTTTAATGAAAACTTCCTCGGTTGTGATTGCATTAGGGAATTAACAGCAAGAATCTGTATTTTCATAGCTCTTCACCTGACACGGCCTTTAAAATGAGTTCCATTACATCAAGTGTGGATGCTAACGCTTATGACATGCATTGTGTTTGTTCTACAGCTGTGGAAATGGTAATCTTAAAGGCACTATAAACTCTTGAAGCTTTTGTCATTACAGGAATGCATAAAATAAAAATTCAAAGTACCAGTCTTTGCTCTATATCTTGTTTCCTATTCTATATTAATATATAAAAGTGTCCTCAGTAAACTACAGAATTACTTTTAATGACTGCAGAGTGTTTGATAACATGAGCACACCATTTGAGTGTTTTTCTTAAGTCTTTACAGCTTTTGTTTGCTTTTGGTGTCAGATTGGACCCCAGCCTTTGGGCTGTGGGTGCATAAGTACTGTCCCACTGAGCTGAGCTACAGTCTTAGCCCTGTGACCTCCTGGTAGATGTAAAAGTTGCCTCCTGTTTGTCAGTAAAATAAGTGTGTCATTATTCTGTAAGAAAGATAGGGAAGTAAAAATCGTAGGACCTGAATAAGCACATCTGATTGCTAACTGGTAACTGGCTCACCAAAAGGTGATGATGGTCTTCACTCCTGCCAGCACTGAATTAGCGCTAGCTTTCTTTTTTCCTTTTGATGTCATTTTGTACATATTTTTGAAGAATGTGATGATTTGCTACATGCACACCTGTCAAGGTATTTTAGCTTTCCACTTCTTTAAACATTTATCTTGTTGGCATTCTTCACATGCCCCTTCTCGTTGTTTATAAACTGTGTCCTAAGACTGTGAGCCAGTCTTACTGTTACTGGACTGTTGTTTCAGGATTCAGGCCTGGATCTCCAGTGAGGCAGCCTGTCCTTTGATTTATCAAGTAACTTGTTTATCCAGAGTTGTGCTCAACCTCTGCCTCTGTTTAGCCCTCTCTTTTCCTTCTCCCCTCATTCCCTTTTGCGATTTTCATAGTAGTTTGCATGATTCTCTAGTTCTGCGCATTTTCAGTGTAGTTAATTTTTTTACTAGTACTGTATGTAACTTGATGTCTTTATTACTGAAAATATTTTTATATAGTCAGATTTATCTGTTTTGATGACTTCTGAGTTTTCTTAGAATGTGTTGCAAGAATCTGTTCAAAGATTATGCACGTATTTATCGTATTTTCATGTAGCACTTTAAAACTTGTTTTTTGCATGTGGGGTTGTGACAGATTTAGCTGTGCTGTCATGCTGTCCTGGAATTCACTCTGTAGACCAGGCTGGCCTTGAACTCACAGAGATCTGGCAGCCTCTTCCTTCTGAGTGTTGGGATTAAAAGCCTGCACCACCACGTCCAGGTGGTTCCCCCTTTTTTTTTTTTGAAACTTCTTCCTTGTTTCTGAGATTATAATTGTACAATTTGTTCCTTCTTTTTCCAAAGCCTCCAATATGCTTTTTCTATTTTGCAAATTCATGACCTTGTTTTCATTAATTTTTGTTACATGCATACACATCTTCCTAAATACAAATTTCTCTGTGTGAATAATGCCATTTATGTGTATAGTTACAGTATTGACTATTTGGTATTTGATAACCTATTTGTGTACTCTTTAGGAATAAATGCTTTTTCTTTCTTTTTGTTTTTTTTTGTTTTTTTTTTGTTTTTTTTTGTTTTTTGTTTTTCGAGACAGGGTTTCTCTAGCTTTGGAGCCTGTCCTGGAACTAGCTCTTGGAGACCAGGCTGGCCTCAAACTCACAGAGATCCACCTGCCTCTGCCTTCAGAGTGCTGGGATTAAAGGCGTGCGACACCACCGCCTGGCAGGAATAAATGCATTTCTAAAGAACATTTTAAAACCGCTAAAAATAGTCTTTAAAAAAGTGGGACTGGAGAGGGTGCTGGGTAGTTAGTTACAAGTGCACTTGCTGCTCTTTCAAAGGATCTAGGTTGGATTCCCATCACCAACAAGGTGGCTCAACCCTCTTGTAATTCCAGTTCCAGAAGATCTACTGGCCTCTTTTGGCCTCTAGGGGTACTGTATGAACATGGCATACAGGTATACATGCAGGTGAAACACCAATACACATAAAAATAGCTAAAATTTTTTTAAAAAGCCCCAAATACCAAAAATAAATATGCAAAGATAATGATTTGTGTGGGGTGAGTTTATAAAAGTTGAGTTTTGCAGATAAAGTGAGCATGATCACATTACATGCCTACTCCATCCTGGTTTTCCAAACATTCTTTCAACTTTAGTTGACTCAGTGTACTTACTATCCTTAAAGCATTTAACAGTCTTTTAAAAATAAACCAAATGCTGTCTAGAAGTGGTATTCACTTTAGTCCGGTTTGTCTTGAGGCTACCTCCTGAGGTTGCATTCTAGGCCATGTAGACAAAGAGGGTTTGCGCCATGTGAAGCCATAAAAAACTGTCCTGCTAGGGAAAGACAGCTAAGTGGCTAGGAGTGCTGGTTACTCCTAGTGGACCTGGTTCTATTCTCAGCACCCATATGATGACTCACAGCCATCTGTAACTCCAGTGTTAAAGGATTTGACATTCTTTTCTGACCTCCTTGGGGACCAAGGACACAAGTGGTGCACAGAAGTACATGCAGGTAAAATACTCATATGCATAAACAAAATGAAACAAAAGACTCATTAAAGCTGTAAGGGACAGGAGCATCTTCAGAATAGTGCAGCTTGCCAGTTAGGTGGCAGTTGTCTTTTTTTTTTTTTTTTCTTTTTTGAGACAGGGTTTCTCTGTAGCTTTGGAGCCTGTCCCCTAACTAACCTTATAAGACCAGGTTGGTCTCGAACTCATAGAGATCCACCTGCCTCTGCCTCCCGAGTGCTGGCATGTGCCACCACTGCCTAGCTTTTTAAGGAATTTTGTGAGTGTGAATGTTTTGCCTGCATGGTTGTATGTGTACCATGTGGATGCCTGGTGCCTACAGAAGCCAGAAGAGGGTGTCAGAGTCCTTGGAACTCGTTACAGATGGTTTTGATCTATTATGTGAGTGCTGGGAACAAAACCCAGGGCCTCTGTAAGAGCAGCAAGTGTTCTTAGCCTCTAAGTTATCTCTTAGCCCCACCAATTATTATCTCACTACTGGGAAGGCTAGATTAGAGTCAGCCTAGACTAGCTTCTGGTACAATAAGGCCTGTTTTTACAAATAAAGTTTATTTTGTATTCACTCCTGTAGTTCATTTAGTACTTTGCTTTAATTGGCTAGACATGGAAAAAATACCTTCTGGCTCTTCTGATTTTACTGGCATGCTCTTTAAATAAAAGTCCTGTCTTTTTTTTTTTGTTGTTGTTTTGTTTTTTTGTGGCACTATCTCGCCTTTTTGGGTGCATTGTAAATGATTATAAGTGAGTGTTTGAAGTGTAAATCACATAGGAAGAAAATACTGAGCTGTAGTTGAGGGACATGAATTGTAGTCTTTGAATTGTTCATTACCTCTTTGGTTTGGATTTGTTCTGTAGCAGTTGGGTGTATAATAGATTGGTGATAGGCTTAGTCCTAAAGGTGTATTTTTTTCTCCTTCATTCTGTAAGTTTCCTTAGAGCAGACCTTTGGGTTTGTACAGTACACTTGCTAAGCACATTGGATCTCAACTAGATTTTTTTTTTTTTTTTTTGGTTTTTCGAGACAGGGTTTCTGTGTGGCTTTGGAGCCTGTCCTGGAACTAGCTCTGTAGACCAGGCTGGTCTCGAACTCACAGAGATCCGCCTGCCTCTGCCTCCCGAGTGCTGGGATTAAAGGCATGCACAACCACCACCAGTTTACCCTACATTCTTAAATGTCTTTTTTTTTTTTTTTTTAAGATTTTTTAGTAGTAAACAGATGATAGAGCTGGAGAAAGGAAATAGTATCACATTCCCATGTATGTTCAGTCCCTGCAGAAGCCAGAAGACGTTGTTGAATCACCTGGAACAAGCTGGAGTTTCAGGCAGTTGTGAGGTGCCTGATGGTTGGTGGGTCCTAGGAACTGAGCCTGGGTCCTCTGCATACGCAACAAGTACTTTTAATCTCTGAGCCTCTTGATACTGTTTTTTTTTTTTTTTTTTGGTTTTTTTCGAGACAGGGTTTCTCTGTGGCTTTGGAGCCTGTCCTGGAACTAGCTCTGTAGACCAGGGTGGTCTCGAACTCACAGAGATCCGCCTGCCTCTGCCTCCCGAGTGCTGGGATTAAAGGCGTGCGCCACCATCGCCCGGCCTTGATACTGTTTTTTTTTTTGTTTGTTTTTTTTCGAAACTGGGTTTCTCTGTAGAGCCATCCCTGGAACTAGCTTTTGTAGGCTAGGCTGGCCTTGAACCTACAGAGATCCACCTGCCTGTCTGGAATTAAAGGCATGCACCACCACCACCTGGCCCTTGATACTGTTTGTTTTTTGATCACAACTAATAGTATTTAATGACTTCATGATAATTGCTTAATAGTTTTTTTCTATAGCATTTTTCTTCCTCTTTGGTGATGTGTGCCTCTCCATTTATGAAGTCTATTGCACTTAGTGTAAAACGCAACTTTTTGAGGTCTGACTTTGTAACATTGTTAAATAGTATTTGCTGCCTTTATTGGGCTTCCTTTTGGATAGACTTGGTGGGCTTATGCTGGAGAGTGGATATAACAGCAGCTGTTCTTTTCTTCTACAGGTTAGACCAAAGCCATTGCTTTTGAAGTTGTTAAAGTCTGTTGGTGCGCAAAAAGATACTTATACTATGAAAGAGGTGAGCAGAACCGAGAGATAGAGAATTGATGTCTTTTTTTCCTTTTTTTGATTTTATTATGTATACAGTATTCTGTCTGTATGTACACCTGCAGACCAGAAGAGGGCGCCAGATCTCATTACAGATGGTTGTGAGTTACCATGTGGTTCCTGGGAATTCTACTTAGGTCCTCTGGAAGAACAGCCAGTGCTCTTAACCACTGAGCCATCTCTCTAACCTGAATACTTAATAGTTAATACTATTAATAGTTAATAATAGTCTTAATAGCCATTTGTAGTATTTTTTTCAAGTTTGTGGGTAAGATTTGTTATATAGAAAGATTTTGTAATAAGCAGGGACACTGTTTTGTGACCATTTGAACTATATTTTGAAGCTAAAAATACTAATTTGTATGACTTTCTTTTTTTGAGACAAGGTTTTTCTATGTAGCTCTGATGTCCTGGAAATCTCTTTATAGACCAGACTGGCCTCTAAATCACAGAAGTCCACCTGCCCATGCCTCTGAGTGCTTGGGGTTATAGAATTCTTAGCATTTGTGTTGTGAGCTCATTTGGCAAATTGGTAAAAGTCTCTGATTTGTAATTTCTCAGAATCATTTAAATGCATAACAGTAAACAAATTTATGATAATGTACTTTTAGTTACTTTTTAATTTTTAAAGCTTTATTTATTTTGTGTATATGTACATGTATAATGGAGATTAAAGGACATTTTGAGGAATCAGTTCTCTCCTACCCGGTGAATCCTGGGTAATCAGACAAGGGTCATCTGGCTTGGCAGGAAGCACCTTTACCTTTTGAACCATCTCACCTGCCCAGTATAAACCTTTTACATTAACAAAATACGGGGCTGGAGATGTGGCTCAGCAGTTAGAAACACTGACTGCTCTTCTAGAAGACCCAAATTCAATTCCCAGCTTGCACATGGCAGCCCACAGCTGTCTGTAACTTCAGTTCCAGGGCACCCTCACCCAGGCATACATTCAGGCAGAACATCAGTGCACATAAAAACAAAACAAAATACTGACAGTAAGTTTGAATTTAGTGTAGTAAGGAATGAAATAAAATGTTAAAATATTTGTTTTTAGGGATAGCACAGTACAAAAACAGTTTATTGGTGACAGAAATTAAAAATATTGTCATTTGTTGCCTATATTCATAATTGATGAGAAAACTAAGTTTCAGTTCAAATTTAGTGAAAATGAAGATCATACCCCCTCCCCATACCCCCTTCCCATCACAATTGTTGAATTCCCTTAATTTTATCGAAGGACTTCTTGGGTATCCCTGGGTCCCAGGTTGGAACTTGTGCTCTAGAGCTACAAGAGTACAACGTACTGTACTGAAATCCCGGGTGAGTTGATTCCATGAACCTGTCGTCTGTTTTCGTGGACACAGCATTGTACTGTTGTTTACCTTAAAGTTGTTTATGAAAGTATGGTTTTCAGTGAGTGGCTGGGCAGTTGTAGACAATTTCAGTGTGAGAGATACAAGTGTTATCTTGTTTACTTAAAACACTGAAGTTTTGTTCTTATGACTGGTTAGTGGGACAGGAAGAGACTGAATCAGCTATACTGTTAGAAACCTCTTAGAGGATACTTTCTAGGAGGAACCTGTTTTTCTTGTCCCACTGCCTACAGCATTGTCTGTGATCATGGATGTGTAGGCACGTTCCTTTAGTGTTGATTGACTCACTGGGTGGTGATGGCACACATATTTAATATCAGCACTCGGGAGGCAGGGGCAGGCGGATCTCTGAGTTGAAGGCCAGCCTGGTCTACAGAGCAGGACAGTCAGAGCTGTAGAACCCTATCTCGAAAAACAAAACAAAACAAAAAAAGTTGATTGATTCCTGCTTAGCTACTAAAACTACTAAGTCTCTTAAGTGTTAAGTGATGTTTTTAGGGTCATTAACTTTTTCGGTTGACCTTTATAAAATTAGTTAAGGAAATAAACAAGAAAGTATGGATTTAGCAGCAGACAGAGTAGAAAATAGATCAAAGCCATCAAAAAGATGTTGGGTGCTTGTATTGAGCTGTATGCAGTGGCTCAGTGATGTTCTTCTGTTCTCCACAGGGCATTGCCTTCCAAGTCCCTTACTTTAAAACATAAAACTTTCAATGCAGTGTATGTACAGTTTTCCTTATGCTTTGATATCTCTATATTACCTAATACATGATATAAGCAATTGTTAATACTGTATTATTTAAGGAGTATTGACAAGGAAAAACATTTCCTTGTTTAGGACAGATCTCTGGAGTTAGTTTAGACCCAGAGTTGGATGTGGGACTTAGAGCTGTTTATATTGTCTATTTTCAGTTCTTTCTCCTGGGGCACTTGAGAGAGTAGTGAAAACCAGTATGGGGTAGTAAAAAGTGCACTGGAATAGGGGTCAGTCCTAGAGTGGTTTCTTCATCCTTTTTTATGTTTCTTTCTATTTTGGCGGTGCTCAGTGTCAGACCAAGGGGCGGCCTTTTCATTTCCATCCCGTGATAACAATTGTGTCGGGACAATGAGGCTGTACTGACAGCTGCACTGTGCACTGTAGTATGCTTACAGACTTGCCTTGTTGATGGGCTGCTTTTGGGATAACAGTGTGTGCTAAAACTGATTTATGGAGCACAGAGCACTACTGTTTAATAGTAGTGGTTGGGACCATGGACTACTCGGGTTGATTGCAGTAATAACTGAGACTGTCTGATTGGGAGATGCCATTGGTGATTTTCCTGTTCCTCTGGGATGACTTCAGAGCTGTTGAAGTTTTAGGTGATTGAAGAAAACAATTTTTGCCTCCCCTTTCTTTCCTAGAATGTTAGTATCTAGATTTCTGAGCAGAATTAAAGTTTATGAGAAAAAAGAAAAGAAACTCATTTAAGTAATGTGAAGGAAAGGAACAGTTACTTCTGTTTTCATCAACTTTAAAAGAGCTAGACACAAAATGGTCTTGTATAGGATTGTGGATGTGGTTGTTTAGATAAGGGGGTATTACTCAATGTATGCAAAACTGATATTTAGTTTTCTTTAATACTTAAAAATGACATTTCTATTTCAGATTATATTTTATCTTGGCCAGTATATTATGACTAAACGATTATATGATGAGAAGCAGCAACATATTGTGTATTGTTCAAATGATCTTCTAGGAGACTTGTTTGGAGTGCCAAGCTTCTCCGTGAAAGAGCACAGGTAAATAAATCAGAAAGCTGCAGCTCGCCTCCATCTCTGTCCCTCTGTCAGAGAGAAACTGTGGCCATGCATACAAGATGCTCTACTGCTGCTGACACTCCTGGCCCTGATACTCATTTGGGGAGGGGGTAGTATATTGTTTGGGAACCTGAATTCCTGGAGTATTACAAGCCCGTTTGTTGATATATGTTGTTGTTTGTTTAATTGTGTGTGAGCATGTTCCTTGTGAGTGTGGTGTTCAGAAGATAGCTCCCTCCACTGTGTGGTTGTTTGGGCGTGTAAGGGATCTAACTTCACTCAGCTCTAGGTTCTCTATTTATAATTTTTCTTTTCCTTACAAGGAAAATATATACAATGATCTACAGAAACTTGGTGGTCGTAAGTCAGCAAGGTAAGTTAATTTTGAATACTCTGAAAATACTGTAGCTCTGAAGACAGTTCTTTCTGACTCAGGGTCTCATGTATCCTAGTCTAACCTCAAGCTCACTATGTAGTTGAGAACCCTTGAGCTTTTAGAAAGTGTTTGAGTATCTTGGTGTGTGTGTATATGATACATGTCTGTGGGTGGGACATGGGCCATGATGATGTCCATGTGGAACTCATGCTGCATTCTTTTTATGTGGGCTCTAGAAATCCTCCTCAGACTTTTAGGCTTCTGTGCAAGCGTCCTGCCAGTCCCTCTAGTCGTGTTTTAAGGATTGGACATACTTAGTGGAAGAGTGCTTTCCCAGCCTGTGTGCAGTTCTGCTGCAATCCCTAGCACTGTAAAGTAAAAGGCAGAACAAAACGGTACAGAGACATTTTTGCTATCTATGTGCATGCATTTTGTGTTTCTGGTTCTCTTATTATTTTAGTCACCTCTTTCAGTGCTGACTAATTTTGTTGTAAATTATTACTTATTTTTATGTGTGTCAGTGTTTTGCCTGTGTATGTCTGTGTACCATCTGTGTGCAGTGCCTGTGAGGACAGAGAAGGCCATCAGGTCTAGAACTGGAATTACAAACTGGAATTACAGACAGTTGTGAGATATCCAGATTTGTCTGGAATAATAGCCAATGCTCTTAACCACTGAGCCATAGTTCCAGCCTCTGTTTACTTTTTTGCTTTGTTTTGAGATTGGATCCCTGTAAATTTTCTAGGCTGGTTTGGAACTCAGTGTTGCTGCTCTCCCAAGTATCTGGGATTACAACCCACATGGCATTCATTCATTTATTCAGCACTGCTGGGAACTGGACCCAGGGACTCATCTGTGCTTGGAAAGTGTTGTTTTAGCTAGCTGCCTCAACAGCCCTGCGGCCAGTGGTGGCACACGTCTTTAATCCTAGCACTCAGGTGGTAGAAACATCTCTTGAGTTGAAGGCCAGCCTGGTCTCCAAAGTGAGTTCCAGGACAGCCAGAGCTCTTACACAAGGAAACCAACCAACCTCCCTCCCTCCCTCCCTCTAATGTGTGTGGGTGTTTTTTGTTTTGCCTGTGTGTATGTTTGTGCATCCCAAATGGGAAGTACCCACAGAGGCCAGAAGAAGGGAATTGATCTCCTAGACTATTGTAAGTGAGCCGCTACCTCTTGCAAGAGTGTCCCGTGCCATTACTACAACCCTCTTTTGAAAAAAAATTAATTATGGAGCCTGATGTGGTGATGCATACCTTCAGTCTCAGCACTTCAGCACTTGGGAGGCACAGGCAGATGGACCTGTCTAGCCAAGTCTACATAATGAGACACTGTCAAAGAAAAAGAAAAGAGAAAAGTTTGTGTGTCCCCTGTATGTGGGTGTGATATGCACATGAGTGCAGGAGTCCACAGCAGCCAGAGGTGTTAGATTCCCTAGAGTGGAGTTACAGGGGGTTTTGAGCCACTTGCCATGAGTGCTGGGAAACCGAACTTAGGACCACTGTAAGAGCAGTGTGTGTTCTTACCCACTGAGTCATGTCTCCAGTCTCATCATTTTCCTTAAAAAAAAAAAAAAAAAACAAAAAAGAAACCCCAGAAAACTCAACCTACATTGACTTGTGCTTCTGTGAGCACTTTTATGTGCTGTGATGTGCATATGATGTCAGCTGACAGCTTGAGGGAGTCACGTGGGTCCTGAAGATCAGACTCTGGAGTGAGCTCGGGTCATAAGGTTTGGGCAGCAAGTTTCCTTATTTCCTGGCCTGACTTGCCAGGCCCAGTGATTCTTTTTAAGAATTACTTTATGCATAATTATAATAGGAGTATAAACTTGAGTAGGAAATGGCTGTGAACTAAAACTATTATAAAAAGTATAATACAAAATGTATCATACAACGTTGAATGCCCCGTTCATGTTTGTTGAAACCTTGGGTTATCAGTTAGAATTTCTTTGAAAAATAACTAATATTAAAGGCTACTAGAAGTTGATCAGACCTTGAAATGAATTGAGATGTTTGCGACCTAAGTAGGACCTTGCTCTTTTCTTGCCCCCTTTCCAGTCTTTCTTGAATAGACAGTCATTTCCATTTTTTAGGTAAGCAGCAGTTTAGCTCTGCTTGCAGTAGTCTGTCTGCAGTGGTAACATGCACACTGACGCTGAGCTACCTACTCAGACTGACTCAACTCAGTTTTGGGATGCAGCCTTTTGAGGCTTTAGTAAAGGTACTTGGTTTTCATTCTATAAAGATACACACATGGAATAGTGTTTTGATACTTTTTAAAGAAAAGGGTTGGTCTTTCTTTTTCTTAAACCCTCCTCTCTTCTCCCTCCTCCCTTTTTTTTTAAAGACAGTATATCACTACATAGCCCTGGCTGGGCTGGAGCTCACTATATAGACCAGGCAGACCTTGAACTCAGAGATCCACCTGTGTCTGTCTCTTAAGTGTAGAAGGGAGCTGTGGGCTGCTTCCTGCTCCCGGCCACTTGGCTAGCTTATGCCCCCAAATAACAACACACAAACTGTATTCATTTAAACACTGCCTGGCCCATTTCTGTTAATGTGTGTAGCACCGAGGTGTCCATCCTGGGTTGGAGCTTTATTGTGTCTGCCCCAGAGAGCAGAGCTAATGCATCTTAGCTCACTTCTTCTTCCTCCCAGCATTCTGTTCTGTTTACTTCACCCACCTAAAGGCTGGCCTATCAAATGGGCCAAGGCAGTTTCTTTATTAGCCAATGACCTTCCTCCATCACTTAAGTGCTGGGACTATAGGTGTGTGCCACTGTGTCTGCTCCTTTGATCCATTTTTAATAAGTTTTTCCAAGGGGGGAAAATACTGATTTGTAGTAGTTGCCGATTTTCATGGTATAAATGATATCATTTCTACAGTATAAAAACACTTAAGTTGGGAAGACCGATAGCATCTCCCAAACCTTTAAAGATGTTTTGAGACAAGATGTCTAGTATGCATCTCAGACTATTTTGGAGTTAGTGATTCTCCTCCTCCAGCCTCTGAAGGACCCTAGGATTATAGGATTACGTACCACCATATTTGGCTAGTAGTGTGTACTTGAATACCAGTAGGTGTAGGCTTCAAAACACCATAAACCTTAAAAAGTTTATCCTTAGACTGGGCAGTGTTGGCACTCACCTTTAATCTCTGTGAGTTTGAGGCCAGTCTGGTCTACAGAGCGAGTGCCAGAACTGGCTCCAAAGCTACAGAGAAACCCTGTCTCGAAAAAACCAAAAAAAGGGGAGGAGGGTTATCTTTAAACTGTGTTCAGAAACCTGTTTAGTTTGTAGACTGAACTGACCACTCTTGTAATCCACTATTCCATTCTGTATTCAGGGTGTATTGTGTTATGTGTTATTGTGTATACTGCACTACATACCTGTTTCCTGTGTTCCATTGAGATCTCACATATTGTATAATATAGTATCTCATTGAATTGTTATATGTTTGGGTTTCAATACCAAAATAGTGTCTATAAAAGGCACCAGGATCTTATCTTAACCCAGAACAAAGTAATGACTAATTTGATAACTGAGACTTTTTTTTTGAGAGAGTATCCAGTTTGGCCTTGAACTTGTAATCTTTGGGCTTCTCCCTCTTGAGTGTGCTGGGATTACCGGGGACCTGTAAGGCTATTAATAAAAGTCAGATGGTGGCACAGGGCCATGCTAATCTTCTCTGTATTGTTCCAACTTTAGTGTATGTGCTGCCAAAGCGAGCACTCAAGTATCTTTTTTGGTTTTTCGAGACAGGGTTTCTTTGTAGTTTTGGATCCTCTCCTGGAACTAGCTTTTGTAGACCAAGCTAGCCTTGAACTGACAGAGATCCGCCTGCCTCTGTCTCCCAAGTGCTGGGTTTAAAGGCACGTGCCACCACCGCCCCACTAAAGTATCTTAATAGTCATTCATTTAAATAAACCGACAGATTACTAGAAGAATTAAAGGGTCAGCTGTAAATTACGTATTTTCATTTTTGTATTTTAGTTCAGTTAAAGTAATTTTGGAAATTCTAGATCAGTTGTCAACCTTGTTACACCTGGCACTTTATTAATTTGTCCTGTAATTTTTACACGTATTAAGGCAAATTCCCAGGTAACAGCCTGTTTATGTATTTGGTTTATAATCTGTGTGTTTCCATAGAATGCAGGAGTTTTTATGGTACTACATCATTTCAGAGTGCTCAGAGCCCAGGCCTGGCTGCACTGTTGATGGAAGTGCTTCAAGGTGGCAGTGATCGGTATTCGACTATGGTTTTGAGTAATTTTGTCCTTCTCAGTTCTGAAATTTTGATGTTTTGAGAGCTTGATTTGTAAAACTAAATACCAACTGTGCCTGCCTACCCGAGTAGCTCATTTAAGTTAATTATTTTGCAATCTAAAGCGTCCACCCTCCTACAATCACAGTTTTTCACAGTTAGACTCTTGGTGTCCTCTTTATCAGCCCCTTCTACACTGCATTTCAACCTTTTGGGCTTTGGTTTTTTTCAAGACAGGGTTTCTCTGTGTGGGACCCTGACTGTCCTGGAGACAAGCTGCATTAAACACCTGGCCTTACCCAGTTTCTAGTCTTAAGTTTGCTTGCCTCAATGTTCTATTATTTGTTTTTCCATACTGGACTTTGGGCCCAGGACCTCACACATGCTAATTGAGGCCTCTCATTTAGGCCTCTGAATTACCTGTAACTTTTTATTTTGACAAGAGTGTCACTGAGATGCTCTGGCTGGCCTCAAATTGTAATCCTATCTGAGTCTGCCCAATAACTGGGGATGATTGGTGTATATCATGCCCAGTGGTTTGTTGTTTGTTTCTATGGGTTTTTTTTCCTTCTTTTTAAATTCTGTTTTGTCAGTGATTTGCTACTCCTTATTTAGGAGTTTTATGATTGCTCCCTGGGGAGAATAGTTCTGTGAGCTAGGAAATGAGCTTTATTTCTTTTTTTTGTTTTGTTTTGTTTTTTTTTTTTTTTTTTTTGGTTTTTCGAGACAGGGTTTCTCTGTGGTTTTGGAGCCTGTCCTGGAACTAGCTCTTGTAGACCAGGCTGGTCTCGAACTCACAGAGATCCGCCTGCCTCTGCCTCCCGAGTGCTGGGATTAAAGGCGTGCGCCACCACCGCCCGGCCATGAGCTTTATTTCTTGAACTAAAACCCTATTACAAGATGGCCTTAGGCAAGTTTATGGAACTGCTCAGAAGAATGATATGTTGTGCTGTCTGGCTGAACAAACATTACTCTTTGCTTCCGCTCCAGTAAATGAATTAGTTTAATTTTGTGCCACAGGAACTGTGTGTGTCTGGAAGCCTTCTCACAATACTGCTTTTCTCTCTGGAATGCCTGTTATATACCAGCTTCAGCATAGGCTGTTACAAAATGTGTCTTGATAGTTTCCATCCTTTCTCCCCCGCATCTACCAAAAGATCCTTCTTTGTTTCCTCTGCTAGTATATTCTCTTTCCCCCACCCCCAAGACAGTGTTTCTCTGTGCAGCCCTGGCTGTCCTGGAACTTTTCTTTGTAGACCAGGCTGGCCTTGAACTCACAGAGATCCACCTGCTTCTGCCTCCTGAGTGCTGAGTGCACTACCATGCCCGGTATCTGCTAGTATATTTTAAAATTTTGCTTATTTTACTTTTTATTAATTATTATTTTGGTTTTTCAAGACAGGCTTTTTTCTAGCTTTGGAGCCTGTCCTGGAACTCATTCTATAGACCAGGCTGACCTCGAACTCACAGAGATCTGCCTGCTCTGCTTCTGCCTTCTAAGTACTGGGATTAAAGGTGTGCACCACCACTGCCCGGCTTATTTTACTTTATAATTACTGTTTTAAAGTTTAATTTATGTCCATGTTTTAGTATGCAAATGACACTTGGGACATACATGGCTAATGCTTGTTGAAAGGTTAAATTTTGTACAGGGTTGGGTTAAACTGGTATATGTTGAATTCTTATTCTTTGTGTTGAGTCAGTTTTTCCTTTCTCTTAGAGTCTTCAGACTCCGGCACATCAGTGAGTGAGAACAGATGTCAGCCTGCAGGTGGGAGTGATCAGGAGGTAATAGTTAATTTATTTCTTACTCTTCTACAAGGTTTCTTTTTAAAACTTTCTATTTGTGTGTATTGTCCTTGAGTGTTTGCATTCCTGGGCCAGTAGTGGATGCCATATCACCTGGAGCTGGAGTTACAGATGGTTGTGAGCTGCCCCAGACATGAGTGATGAGAGCCAAAGTTAGCCAGTCCAGAACAGCACATGTTCTTAATCTCTAACTCATCTCTCCAGCTTCATGACAAATAGTTCTTGAAAATTGGGAAGGTTATATAAAACAGAGCTCGAAGCAGCCTGTGCTGTGTTACTTTGTCATATTTTACGTTTTCTTGTGTGTTTAGGACCCTGTGCAAGAGCCACAAGAAGAGAAGCCTTCATCTTCAGATTCATTTTCTAGACCGTCTACCTCATCTAGAAGGAGAGCAATTAGTGAGACAGGTATATATGAGTAATTACTTGGCATATTACATAGTTGTTTGGGGGTTCTTCCTTTAATACTGTGGTTTTGGGGTCAGATGACCTTTTCACAGTTGCCTAAGATCATCATAAAACAGATATTTACATTTATGATCCCTAACAGTAGCAACAAAAATAACTTTGGTTGGGGTCACCACACCATAAGGAGGAACTGTATTAAAGGGTCGCCGCATTAGGAAGAACCATTGCTCTAGACCCCTGGTTTTGGTTCTATAATAAAAGATGAAGTCTTGTTTTCTATTTTATTTTAATTATTTTTTTGAGACAGTATCTCTGCAGAGACCAGGCTGGCCTCACTCACAGATTGACCTGCCTCTGCCTCCCAGGTGTTAGGATTAAAGATGTGTGCCACCATATCTAGTATACTCAAATTTTTAACGCTTAGTGTTGACAGAAATATTGTATATTTTTGGGTCAGTAAGAGCTCTAAATGGATCCAGTTTATTGTAACTTTTGGAGGTAAAGTTCAGAAAAAACATTGGAAACTTTTCAGTGTTTTTAGTTGGACAGATCCAGTGAAACACTGACTTTAAGAATGTAAATGGTTGACTTTTGTTACAAATAGGAACTAAGACATTACAGTTTCTGAATCAGCCACAGCACAGGGATTTAACTACCTGTTTCCCTTTAATACATAGAAGAAAACTCAGATGAACTACCTGGTGAGCGGCAAAGGAAGCGCCACAGATCCCTTTCCTTTGATGAGAGCCTGGCTTTGTGTGTGTTGAGAGAGATATGCTGTGAAAGAAGCAGCAGCAGTGAGTCCACAGAGACCCCCTCACATCAGGTATGTGTCGGTTTTGATTATTTAAGAATAGATTTGTTTTATTATTATCTATGTATTATTTATATATTTATTTAGGTATATATGTTTTTTGGACACAGGGTTTCTCTGTGTAACAGCCCTGACTATCCTGGAACTTGCTTTGTAGACCAGGCTGGCCTCGAATTCAGAGATCTGCCTGCCTCTGCCTCCCAAGTGCTGTGATTAAGGTGTGTGCTGCCACCACCACCACCAGGATTATTTTTTATGTAAGGGTTTTGTCAGCTAGTATGTTTCACATGCATGCGCTGTCCTTGGAGGCCAGAAGAGGATGTTGCATCCCCTGGACCATAGCTGGGTGGTTATGGCCGCTGTGTGTGTGTGGAACCTGGGTCATCTGTGAGAGCATCAAGTGTTCTAAACTCCTGAGTCATCTCTGTAGTCCTGTTTTCCAGTTTTAATTTTTTTTTTTCAAGTCTTAATCCTTAAAGTTGTTTTTTTTTTTTTTTTCTTTTTTGAGACAGGTTTCTCTGAGGCCTTGGAGCCTGTCCTGGAACTCACTCTTGTAGACCAGGCTGACCTCAAACTCACAGAGATTCACCTGCCTCTGTCTCCTGAGTGCTGGGATTAAAGGCGTGCGCCACCACCACCCAGCAAGTCCTTAAAGTTCTAACAAACTTATAAATAGAATGCCTGTTACGGGCCCATTGAGAGGAACATTTTGGTTCAAGAGGTGGGGTTTTCACTGGGGATAGACGTGACTGAGAGAAGAGGCAGAGCCAAGGGATGTGCTGCCAGGAAGCTAGGGTGGGGCTTTTTCAACAGTAGCTTGCCATCCCCCTCAAGCCTTTATTTTGTTCCCTAGTTTTATAATAAATAAACATAAAAGGAATCTTTAACAAGTGCCCTTGTTTGATGTGAGACTGATGCTGAACACAGTGGTAAAATTTAATCTTAAATCTGTATAGAGCTCCTGCTTCTAGTCCTAGGTTTGGAGAGAAGGGGAGAGTAGAGTAGCAGTGCTCCTGGGAAATGAGTACAGATTCCGTCCTTACTGACGTCATCCTTAGGTGTGGACCACTGTACTAGTGGTCAGCTCACACAGCTCAGGTGTGTTGGGGCAGAAAGCAAACTGAACATTTAGAAGTTACACTTTTTAAATAAACGAAGGAAACTGAAATTCATCTCAGTTACGTACTGTAGAAATCTAAGGGAAGTTTGCTTTGATTGTTTCCTTGTTCGTTCTCCTTGCCAGAGATCAAACCCAGAAAGAAGTTTGCACATGGTAGGCAAGCACTGTATCGCTATACACTTCAGCCTCCTGTGCCCCACTGAAGACGACTTTGGGAACTTTAGCTTTGTTGGAGTTCTGTATCAGTAAAGATGACACCAATATTCACTATCCACGTACAAACCTACATTGCACAGAGCTAATCAGGCTTCTGATTTCTAGGTCTGTGTATGAGAGATATTAAATTCAGACTATGCTGGTTTATTTGTTGAAAGTTGAACTGTAATAACAGCTTTTTTTTTTTTTTTTTTAATTTTGAGACAGGGTTTCTCTGTGTAACCCTGACTGTCCTAGAACTCTTTTTATAGACCAGGCTGGCCTCAAACTCAAAGAGACCTGCCTGCCTCTGCCTCCCAAGTGCTGGGATTAGAGGTGTGTGCCACTGCCACCTGGCTTCAAAACAGCTTTCTATATTGCATTTGAAAACAGCATGTTTGTTTATGTGTGTGCGTGCGGATTATGTCTGCCACAGTGCATTTGTGAGGGATGTGATGAGGTCAAAGGACAGCTCAAGGTAATCGGTTTCTCTTTCCACCAGAGGTAGAGAACTCAGTGCCTCAGTCTTGGCATTGTTATCCGTGAGCCATCTCTGGTCCCCAACAGTGTTGTCAAACACCATGTAGTTAACCTTTTGGGTCTGGTTTGCTTTGGTCTCTGTTGGATTTTCTTAATTTGGAAAAGCAACCATAGATGTGTAGACACACATGCATGGCTTTGTTCAGGAAAGATTTGTTTATAAAAATACACTGGTGTTAAGATAATACAGCTTGGGGGCTGGAGAGATGGCTCAGTGGTTAAGAGCATTGCCTGCTCTTCCAAAGGTCCTGAGTTCAATTCCCAGCAACCACATGGTGGCTCACAACCATCTGTAAAGACGTCTGGCGCCCTCAACTGGCCTTCAGGCATACAGACAGAATATTGTATACGTAATAAATAAATAAATATTTGAAAAAAAAAGATAATACAGCTTGCAGACAACTGCTGCAGAAAGTCTGATTCTAGAGTTGAGTGAAGGGACACTGTTGGGTCACCAGAGATGTGACCGACTGTCCTAACCTGTGTCAGTGGAAGTTGTGTAGGAATTAGAGCTAGTCCTTGAAGAGTTGCTTTTTCTACTGCTTTATCAACATCACTTCAAGTCCCTATTTTGAAATTTATAAAATAATAACACTGTTTTTGTTGATTATATTAATTCAGACTCCTTTCATGCCTCAAGGGACTGTATTCTCTAGAAGTTAGATGATGGATCTGAAGTTGACCTGTGTCCTGACTCTTAGCGTAGAGTACTCTTCTCAGTTATAGCTCAGGATCCAGCTTGTGATCAGTTTAGTGGAGGATTTTAAGTTGAATCTCTTTTATGTTTTTTTGAGACTGATCCTCTCTAGTCCTGACTATTTGCTGTCCTCTGTAGGCCAGGCTGGTCTTGAACTCACAGATATCCTCCTGCCTCATCCTCCTGAGTGCTGGGATTAAAGGTGTCCGCCACCATACTCAGCCCTTTAAATTGAATCTCTTGATTGAGAAGATTATAGCCTTGGTATGTGTTCTTACCTTTAGCATAGACAGATAACATTAGGTTCTGAAGCTGTGAGTTATTAAATCCTAAAACGTGGGGTCAGTTGAAAATACACAGAATTGTAAAAATAAATTTGAAAATTTGTCTTGAAGCTTTTCAAATCAAGTTATTCTGGGCTGGCAGCACAGTCTTAATCACAGCATTCAGGAAGCAGCGTCCAGTTCTAGGCCAGTTAAGGCTACATATGTAGATCCTGTCTCAAAAACCCAAATAGCAGATTTGTATTTGTGCAGTAACTAGCATTCTGACACGCTAATAGTGTAATTAAGGTAAGTCTTAGCCTTTTTTGTATTTTATAGAGAAGCTTGCAGTTACGCTTCATCTAATTAATAGGTGTGTATATAATCAATAATTGCATAAATAGGAAAGGTTATTATTGTTAGAGGTTTAGCCAAACAAAGGTGACTGGGATTTAGAAGCTCAAATTATTTTAGGGAGGGAAAGTTAGTGGAAGAATTAGGAAACAGAATCTGACTGGAGTGTGGGTGTTGAGTAGGATAGAGTGTGTTTAGCTGAGGGTTTTTGGAAATGCTAATGCAGTCATACTGAGTGTAACTTCAGTGCTAAGGCCCTTTGACCTTTTTCTTTCATGTAGTAGAATTTTGAGCAGGGAAGATTGAATATTAATGTAATAACCTTGCGCCAGTCTGTGCAACATGAACAGGAGGAGGAAATAGTGGCCCAGGATGAATTAGGAAGCTCTTACTGAAGCCTAGAGGCAATGTCTTTAAGTTCACTTTATTCTTTTCCCATAGGATCTTGATGATGGTGTAAGTGAACACTCAGGTGATTGGTTGGATCAGGATTCGGTTTCGGATCAATTTAGTGTAGAATTTGAAGTTGAGTCTCTTGACTCCGAAGATTACAGCCTGAGTGAAGATGGGCACGAGCTCTCAGATGAGGATGATGAGGTGGGTTTCCATGGTTGCTAGCTTTTTAATAAGATTGGAGATGCAATACGTTCAGAGTCACTTGAAATTTTTGGTTTTTTTCATTTGTGAGCTTAAGGCAAAATATTACAGCTTCTGGTTTATTATAATCTCATATTACTAGGTCAGAAACTTAGGCATTAATGGACATTCTTGTAATGGTCTGCCCATAAACTTCTCCATTTGGTTCTACTATTTATTTGTTTGTTTGTTTGTTTTTCTTGAGACAGAGTATCACCATGTAGCCCTTGGCTGATCCTGAACTGTCTGTGTAGACCAGGCTGACTCACAGTGATCTGCCTGCCTCTGCCTCCAGAGTGCTCGGATCAAAGGCAAGCGTCATTACTCCTATTCCTCTCTTTTAATAATAATTTGTTTTTCACAAATATAAAACATGCAGCAAACAAAAGTGTCAGATGGTGCCTGTATATCTCTTTCTTGGGAGTGACTATACTTTTAACATTTCTAGTTGTTTGTTGTTTTCTGGCTAATAACTCAGAATTTGTAAAATAGGTTTTCTTGAAATTTTTTTTTTGGGTTTTTTTCGAGACAGGGTTTCTCTTTAGCTTTAGAGCCTGCCCTGGAACTAGCTCTTGTAGACCAGGCTGGCCTCGAACTCACAAAGATCCGCCTGTCTCTGCCTCCGAGTGCTGGGATTAAAGGCGTGCGCCACCACCGTCCGGTTTTTCTTGAATATTTTGTTTGCTAAGTATTAACAACTCCGGGCTGGAGAGATGGCTCAGAGGTTAAGAGTGCTGGCTGTTCTTCCAGAGGTCCTGAGTTCAATTCCCAGGAACCACATGGTGGCTCACAATGATCTGTAATGAGATCTGGCGCCCTCTTTTGGTGTGCAGACGTGCATGAAAGCAGGACATTATAAATAAATATTTTTTTTAAAAAAAAGTAGTTAAACAGCTCTTGCCATGGTGGGTGAAGAGTTTACTCTTCTACTTTGTCTACTTTACTGGAACTGCGTTTGACTTGCCCTTCAGATCTCATGGAGAGTTAGTGGCTCTAGCTATTTGTTTAGGACTTATTAAGAATTCAGCCTTCTTGGTTGAGAGGTAAATTGATGCTAATGAATTTGTCTTATTAGGTCTATCGAGTCACAGTGTATCAGACAGGAGAAAGTGATACAGACTCCTTTGAGGGAGACCCTGAAATCTCCTTAGCTGTAAGTATACAGATACTTCACAGAAATAAAGACGGCTCTGAGATGAGGATTGGGAAAAGTTAGCTTAATTTACTCTGAAAAGTGAGTTAATTCTATACAGTTAAAAATTTTAAACTCTTATGAGTTAGAGTATTTTTCCTTCTTTGTTGTAGTAGAATCTGTTGATACATTTGTTTGGTTTTATGGGATGGAATTTAACCTTGAATATATTGGACCCCTGAAACATTCATCCTCGTCTAACAAGACCTTTTGGTTTTGGTTTTGGTTTTGGAGATGAGTGGAAGCCACACTTAGCCAGAATCAAGAAATCGGTGTGGGAGAATAAATGGACTTTACCCTCATTGCTTCTGCATTAGTCCGCTTGCCAGGCAAGGTAAACTGGATATATTTATCCAGGGTTCACTAGGAAGTTCACCCTTCAGTGTATGCAAGGATACAGGACATGTTCAGTGATGACTCAGGGATGCGGGAGAGTGTGCTTCTCCAGTTGTGTGAAGAGAAATTGGTATAAGGAAGACACACTGAGCAGTTAAGAGTCCAGGAGAACATTGACAAGGCTGGATTGTGATGAGAATGGTATATTGGAGCTCTGATAGCTGACGAGAATGGTTTTAGATTTCTCTTGTGGATGAAATGGGGATGTTCAGTTTGTTTGTTTGTTTGTTTTTGTTTTTTAAATAGTGCTAGAGATTGATCCCAGACGTGCAGTTATTATTTCACACAGTTCTCCATGTTTGTGTATACATGCAGGGAAAGTGTCTAACACCTGCTCTCTTAGCTAATTTCTGGTATAAGCATTAACTCTGTTTCTCATGGGCTTTTTACCTATTTTATGTAAAACATGAAATGCTGAAAATTATCTATGTGATAGACTTTTACCTCAGGCGTACTGTGACGTTGCTAGCCTTGCTGTGACTAATAACAAGAGTTAATGTCTTCTTTTATTGAAGGACTATTGGAAATGTACCTCCTGCAATGAAATGAATCCTCCCCTTCCATCCCACTGCAATAGATGTTGGACCCTTCGTGAGAATTGGCTTCCAGAAGATAAAAAAGATAAAGGGGAAATCTTGGAAAAAGCCAAGCTGGAGACCTTGACTCAGGCAGAGGAAGGCTTAGATGTGCCTGATGGAAAAAAATCTACAGTGAATGATTCTAAAGAGCCCTGCACCGAGGAAGATGATGACAAAGAGGTCCATGCCTCCCCGTCACAGGAGAGTGAGGACTACTCCCAGCCGTCGACTTCTAGTAGTGTTGTTTATAGCAGCCAGGAAGATGTCAGAGAGGTGGAGAAGGAGGAGACACAAGACAAGGAAGAAAGTATGGAATCTGGCTTCTCTCTTAATGCTACTGAGCCATGTGTGATTTGTCAAGGGCGGCCTAAAAATGGTTGCATTGTTCATGGTAAAACCGGACATCTCATGTCATGTTTCACATGTGCAAAGAAGCTTAAGAAGAGGAACAAGCCCTGCCCAGTGTGCAGACAACCAATTCAGATGATCGTGCTAACTTATTTCAGCTAGCTGACCTGGCCATAGAAATAGAATTATATATTTCTAACTATATAACCCCCAAATTAGATAACATGAGTTTTATTTTTTCTGCATACACTAAAGCAAGAAAAGCGTCTCGGTTCATATAAAATTTGTTGTATGATTTATCTCCTTGAGGGTGACAATAGTGTTTCCTTCCTTTTAGGAGAATTTCACTTGATTATATTTACATTTGGGTTTTAATGTAATCTGCATTGGCTGTGTAGCTCCTTTTCCTTTTCCATTTTCCTTGTATTTTAAATACATTCTACCTGGAAGGACTGTTGGAAGTTCTCTCCAGCTGCAAATGATGGGTCCATTCTGAGAATTGACTGCATAAGAAGTATTTGATTTCTTTTTTTTCCTCTGTGAATATAGAACATTTAATTTATTTAATACCTCTTATATAAGGACGTAAAGCTGTGTGAAGGATTGAATATATAAGTTACTAAATTCTGAAACTCCTTAGTTCTCCAGCTGTTATGGGTGTGGGCTGGAGAGAGGATGCTGGTAAGGCACTTGGCTATGTAAACCTGATGGCATAAGCTTGATCCCTGGAACCCTTGAAAGGAGAAGGAGGGGACCAGACCCACAAAGTTGTTCTTTGATCTCCACACGTGCCCCAAGTGTGCACACTCTTTTAAGGTACGAGTTGTATCTGGTGCCGTGTCTGTAAAAACATGCACCTTATTTTCCAGCTTTTGTCATGAGAAGAGGGACAGGTGATGCACTCTTGTCTCATGTTGGAAATTCTGAAGCACCTTCTTGGGCTCAGCTCCATGGTTCCTGATGTTGCCTAAGTTTCAGGCTGTACTTAAGGTTTAGAAACCATTCAGAAAGACTAATTCAGAACGTGGATAATGAGAACTCATTTTAAAACATGCATAGTATTTTAGAATGATTTCTCCATCCCTGTAGATTAACTTCTTGGTTCATAGTCTTTGATTGAAGGATCCTGTATTTTTCACATGTTCAAGTGTAGAAAGTAAAATCATCTGGACTGTAAGTTTAGAGTAACTAGAGGATGGTTTTGTACTAACCTCGTTGGCTAAAGGAATCAAACAGAAAACCACTCCTTATGATGAGTCTATTACATCTACATAGGAGAACAGCGAGGAATGATTGCTTCAGCTTTGGTATCCGGTGACTAAGTGAAGCTACACTCTTTCACTTTGTAATGCTGAGGTTATATCCTTGGGCAGTACTAGATCCTAAATATTTAGGTGTGGTATACATACATTATTTATTTGCTAATAAATGGTTTATTAAATAAAGGATTGTTTTAAGAGGTTCACTGACTCTTACATATTTTTTCTAACAGTCTATGTGGCTGACAAGTCTGGATGTCTGCGTTTGACTGTGCCTGCTCACTCTGCCGTGGGCAGCCAGATGCTCTTCTCCCTAGGCTAAAGTGGCCATCAGTGAAAGGCCGCTTTAGTACTCTCCACTTGGTTGTAGTGAATGGTATTGCCTTGTTGTAATTGCTTTTTTGTTTTCTTTGAAACTAAATCCTAGGAAGCCAGGGATGTCTTGTCATTTTTATAGGTGCTCAACAGGAATTGACTGAATGGGGCTGGTGATTGAGCTCAGTGCACTGGGGAACAAAGTAATTTAGTTTTGCTTGGGACCTGGGTCTTGAGGCTGGCTATGCAATAGCCACATGCAAACTTCAGACCCCCAAACTCAATGCTAGGAAGAAAGTAATTGCATCAGTCTTGGAGCATAAGTCCTGAGGCTGACCACAAAAAGCAGCATGTGGACCTCAGACTCCAAAGCTAAGTGGAGCTTTAGATCTCTGCTTTTGTTTAAATTCAAAATTCCTTGTGTTCTCATTGAAAGATGATGTTCTGTAGGTATGAAGGCTCATTGTATTGTGTAAAGCTTATAGTAGTTCTTGCTGGTTGAATGTTCTGTAGTCCACCTTCTGCCTCCCAAGTACTGGGATTAAAGATGTTTCTACCATTGCCCAACCTCAACTTTTAGAGGGCTTTTTCAGTTTATTTACTCTTTGTGTGTGTGTGTGTGTGAGAGAGAGAGACAGACAGACACAGTATACCACAGGACACATGAAAGTCAAAGGACAATTTCCTGAGTTGGTTAACTTGTTATATCATGTGGGTTTAGGGAGTTGAACTCAGATCATCAGGCTTGGTGGCAAACATTTGATGAGCCGTCTTCCTAGCTCCTGAATTTGATTTTGTAGTTTGTGGTAGTTTGAATGTAATTGTCCCCTATAAGACAAGGGAGATGTCCTTGTTGGAGGAAATGTGCCACTGTCGGGCACACTTCAGATCAGTTTGCTTCCTGTTGCCTTCCGATCAAGATGTGGGAGTCAGCTCCATCAGCACCACGTGTGCCTGCATGCTTCCATGTCTTGCCATAATGATAACAGATTGAACCTCTGAATCGCAAGCAAGCCCAGTTAAATGTTTTCCTTTATAAGAGTTGTTGTCATGGTGTCTCTTCACAGAAATAGAAACCCTAAGACATATTTACAAAAAAAAAATAAAATTTCTGATTGGGGATGCAAAGTCCCTCTGGCTGTGACATCTGTAATCCATTGCTCATCAGGATTGAGCTGATCTGACTTGCTAGGTCCCCTATGTGTCCCTCCTGAAACTGTATGCTTGCTCACAGAGGATGACCTCTCCTGAATGGAGGGCCATTCTGGGTTTGTTGTTTGTTTTGCTGGCAGTGTAGTCCTTTGGTAGATGGATTGACTGTGAATCATATCCTCTGGATTCCTCTGAAATGGTTGCTTGATTTTCACATACTAAAACTTTTTTTCCCCTGAAATATATGTTTCGTTTAGTGGGAGGTCAAAATTAAGGCCACAGATAGTTTGCTTCAGTGACCCTTGAGAGCTAAGTGTAGAGACTAGGAGAGGCTTTGCACAGCCACCCAGAACTGACTTAGCTCAACAGGACAGACCTCAGCTTAGCAGGATTCTATTGGATTCATTCATGACTAACCATCTCCAGAACCCAGCGAGGCAGCTCCTGTTCCATCTCTTTGAATACATGGTCACAGGTCCCTTTGGATTTTTCTCTTCCTGGGTAGATGGTTGCTTCCTTTGTGCCCGCCCTTAAGCTGTCAAGTGCATTGTGCTTACAGTTGGGCATTCAGGATGTTGACGGCCATGAAAACAGCTGTGCAGGCTTGTTTGCCTTTCTGATTTCAAAGAAGACAACGTCTTAAAATGTGAAAAGAATACTGTTGGTATAAAATTGTCCCTCTTGTGAGGATTCATTCCCCCACCTAAAAGGTGGATGCCCGCAGTCCCTTCATATAGTCTTTATATAGTCTTCATATAGTCTTCCCATCAGGAAGACAGCTCAGGTGTCCATTAGCGATAGACCTAACTGCTCAGGAAGGGAAGTTGCTGGCCGACAGAGCAAAGAGTTCGAGTCCAATTTCACTTAAATACTGGGCATACAAAATAGGATGCTTTATTGTTGGGCAGAGGCCTTAATTGGTTAATACTTTAATTTTGACATAGCTAATAAGTTGCCTTTTATCCTCATTATAAAAGCAACATGGCAAATTTGGAGGCTGGGGTTTCAGCTCTGGAGAGTTCAGCTCTCTCATACTCATGAGGAAATAGGGAGAGAAAACAGTTCTGCTATCCAGAAACTGTTCATACTTTCATTTTTTCTTATTTTCCATCATGACTAATGTTTTAAAATTCTAGTTTAGGGCAGACTTAGTAGGCAAAAGCACCTGCTGCTAAATCCTGGGACTCCTGGTGGGAGGAGAGCATCTGGGAGTTGCTTTCTGACTGCCACGTGTGTCCACGGAATGTGGACATGCATTGTGGACGCACAAATGTGATAAAACATTTAAAGATTAGTTCATCTTAAATCTTTCTCTGTGAGATGGGCTTGTATCGGATGTTTCAATAGTGGCCCTGCCCTGATCTCTACCTTCTGTCCAAAGAGCTTTTTGCTATTACCAGCATGTAATTTTTCTTTGTGAGACAGGGTTACTTTGTGTAGTCCTGGCTGCCTGGAACTCACTCTGTAGACCAAGCTGGTCTCAAACTCACAGAGACCCATCAGCCTCTGCCTGCTGCCAAGTGCTGGGATTATAGATGTGCACCACCAGCATGTGAATTTTAAACGTTGTTGGGAATTGAACTCAGGACCTTTGGAAGAGCAGGCAATGCTCTTAACCTCTGAGCCATCTCTCCAGCCCCTAGCTACACATTTAAATATGTAAGTCTAGGCAAGACGTATCATGGAACTTCTGCCTAAGGCCTCCTAATACATTATATTGCAATTAATTTTCTTTTGAAAGTGGAGGAATATTTGCAACTTAATTTAAAATTGAGATATTTGGGCTGATGAGATGGCTCAGTGGTAAACGAGCCTGGTAACCTGAGTTCCATCCCCAGGAACCACGGGGAAAACTGGGTGCAGTGGCACTCATTGGCAACTCCAGCACTGGAGAAGCTGGAGAGGCAAAAACAGAATCAGCGGAAGCTTGCTGGCCAGCTGGCTGGGAGCTCATCAGCAGAAATGAGAGACCATTTCAGCAAGAAAGGCAGGGCAGTTCCCTAACCCTCTGACAATGTACGTCATACACGTGCTAATTAAATATTTATGTTTAAATATATTTACTTTTTTTTTTTTAAATAAGAAACTGGTAACTGCTGTGTAGCCATTTCCTACTTAGGGACTGAAAAGATGGCTCCTCAGTGGTTAACAGTGCTGGTTGCTCTTGATTCCCGGCACACACACATGGTGGCTCACAACCACTTGTAACTCCACTCCAGTTCCAGGGAATCAGATGCCATTTACTGACCTTTGTGGGACCGGGCACATTAGTGGTACGAGAACATGCATGCAGACAGAACACCCATATACATATAAAAGTGCCGTGTAGCAGTTTTGAAGGTACATGTGCACTCGGGCCAACCTGTCCTTGACCCAGCTTCCAGGACAGAAGCAAATCCTTACAACTACGCTGCTTGTTTGGGAGCCAATAAAACTTGTTGCTTGGGGCACTTTTTTTTTTTGTCAGGATTCTTAGATTTGGAAATCTAAGATTATAGCAGGCTGATGACTCAAGGAATGGTTCCACGGCTAAGTGCACTTGGGAAGTCTGTTTCTCTCCTGCAGGATTTCTCCAATCCTTTACTGGGTTAATGTGAATCTCCCAAAAGTGTTTTGTTTCTGTGGTGTTGGAGATTGAATCCAGGCCTTGTGCAAGCTTGATGAGTACACTGAGCTGCACCCATTGCCCCAGATTATTTTTGGTCAGGGACACCCTTCCCCATCTCGTCCACGCAACACATAGCCACACTCGGAATATGTCACAAAGAGCATGCCCTGTCCTGGAAGGACCATCTGGACTTCAGGAGTATTGTTGAGACATTCTTGTCCAGGATCTTAAATTTGGTCTCTCCTGGAGTATATTTGATGGCAGGGTTTTCTAGTTTGTGGATTTTGTTACGTTTGCAAACAAAAAGTAATGGAAAGACACAACATTCAGTTCATGAACATTCCTTATTGACAAACATAATGTAAATTTAATAAGCTCAGAGGTAGTCATGGCCCCTCCACAGCAAATGTTACAATCTTAGACAATCTGAGCATATTTTTGACTTTTTATTTTCCAAGACACATTTTCTCTGTGTAGCCCTGGCAGTCCTGGAACTAGCTGTGTAGACCAGACTGGCCTCGAACTCTGTAACACAGTACAGTGTCTGCTTATTAGTGACGTAAGTCTAGAGTAAGCCCAGGCATGTGAACTCTGTTTTAGGGTACCCAGAACACAGCGTTCCTTACCTAAATCTAGCCACTGCCCCCACACCCAGGTCACAAGGAAGGCAGGTGTGAGCTCACAAACATCCATTAGATTGTCCTCAACCTGCTGCTGCAGTAGAACAGCCATGCCATGCGGACCTGTGCACACTCCAGGAAACAGATTGCACCCAGCATCGGAGTACCGCTAATGTGCACCATTTTTAGAGACCAATTACACGTGCAAATTCGCTTCCGGAACAAAGCATGGCATTGATTCTTGAACGACATTGAGAAATGAGAGGAGGCCAAACACGTCTGAGTCACTCAGCAGTTTATTGGGTGAAAAGCAAAGCACCAGCTTGTGTTTCTCTAGACACCCCACCATCCACTCATCTTCGCTTGCGCGTGTGTGCGTGCGTGTGTGGCAGGGTCTCTATTATGTAGCTCTGACTATCCTGGGACTACGTAGACCAGGATAGCCTTAAACTCAAGAGACCCACCTGCCTCTGCCTCCTGAGTGCTGGAATTTCACCCACCTCTGTTTGAATAGGCGCACGGGTGAACTTGTGAAAGTTTCCTTGAAAATGACATGATTCTTGCTAACCAGTATTTCAGTTTTCAGCTCACCTTTAATAAGGTGTACTGCCTTCAAAGTAGTTACCCAAATACTAGCTGTGCTTTCTCTACCTGGAGGAGCACCGAAATGTGGTCTGTGCCCAATAGTCAGGAGCGCGGTGGAGCAGGGGTCCCCATCACCCTGTTCTTTCACGTCTCTGTACAGGGGTTACACCTGAATTGGGAACCTCAAAGCGTATCCACCAGGCTAGAGGACACACAGGGACAGGAGCTGGGATCTGAGGACCCAGACCAGGGAATAATTTCACGGTCATGTTTTGTCTTGAGGGTGGGAGTAGTTAGTGGAAACTGAACCCAAGACTTCGTATATGCTAGGCACACTGTCACCAAGCTACACCTCCTCACTCTGTTTAACTGACTCTGCTGTTTTTTTTTTTTTTTTTTTTTTTTTTTTTTTGAGACAGGGTTTCTCTGTAGCTTTGGTGCCTGTTCTGGAACTAGCTCTTGTAGACCAGGCTGACCTCGAACTCACAGAGATCCGCCTGCCTCTGCCTCCCGAGTGCTGGGATTAAAGGCGTGCGCCACCACCGCCCGGCTCTGTTGGGTTTTGATACAGATTTCTGATTTAAATAATATTATCTTAAGAAAGACATAGTGGTCCAGACCATAATAGCTGCCCCAGAGGCTGAGGCAGTCAGGCTGAATTCAATGCCAACTTGGATTACAATGAGTTCCAAGTCCAGCCTACACAATTTAATGAGACCCTGTGTCAAAACGGAAAGTAACAGAACAAAAAAGTAGCTGTGGCTCAGATCACTTTCCCCGTGTGCGCCAAGCCCTGGGCCAGTCAGTCTCCAGTAAGACACATCTGCGTGCAAGTTATTTTGGTAACAGGTTTTCAGAAAACAGCTCATTTCCTTTAAAAACTTCCCAGGGAAAGGGTGTCTGCATTTCGAACCACCCCAACCCGATTGCAAACCAAGTCTGCGCTTACAAATTTAATTGTTTTTGTCTTTCTAAGATGGGTCTCACTTATAGTCCAGGCTTGTCTTGACTTTCCTCCCAAGAGCTGGGATTACAGGCATCAGCTACCACACCTGGCTTAGTCTTCTCTACTTTAAATGTGCTATACCAAACCACTTCCTGAACTATTAATATATGCTTTCCAGATATTCACGCTATTTTCAAATTTTGAAGTGATTAAAAACTACAAATACTATTGATATTAAAATATAGAATAAGTTTGGCACCAAGAAACGGCATCAAGATGCCCGTGTGTCTCTTCAGTCTGTTAGATCTCAAGCCTTCACCATGTGCCAAGCCCCACAAGGTCTCACCAGGTGATGCAATCGCCATGGGAAACGCACAGCATCCAGGAACCCGCGCACCAGAGCTGCTGCTTGGTTTTTCCGTTTGAGCTTTATCCTTATTCATCTACTTATCTATTTTCGAGACAGTGTCTCTTGCTGTGTAGCCCTGCTGGCCTAGAATTCAGAGATCCCCCTGCCTCTGTCTCCTGATCCTGAGTGCTGGGATCTCTTAATTCTTGCAATGAGTTAGCATAAATTTACTTCCATAGGTGGTATTTCTACTTCAAACTGATTGTATGAATTTTTCTTTCTGGTCTAGAAGGCAGTGTGCAGTGCGGCTAACAGCGAGCAATCGTCCTCTCAGCAGACTTACGCACTTATGCCCGTATCTCTGGAATGTTTTTCTTGATGTATCCATGAAAAGTCTCTCTCTCTTTCTCTCCCTCTGTGTGTGTTTGCATGTGTGTGTACACATAAGTGAGCTGGATGTTGCGAAATATAAAACTTAATTTCATAAAACTGCTCAAATCCCTACAGTTCTGGTAAGGGCTGTAGCAGGTGGCTGAAACACCTCCCCCAACCATTTATTTCCTATTTTGTGCTAGACTCTGAGGATACAGGAGCGGACTTTCCCAACAAGCAGATCCTGGCTTCAGAGAGCTCATGTCCTAGAGAAGGCCAGCATGAAGCAGACGGCTGCTGTAAAGCGATAAGACAACCAGTGCGTTCGAAGGGTCCGGAGGCCTGGAGCTACGCGGGCTAGGAATGGCAAGGCTTCCAGGTGATGTTGCGTGGAATGCGCTTTTACTGAGTGGGAAACAAGATGTGGCCCCTCCTCCAGTGCTGTGTGGAAGATGGACCTGGTAAAGAGATACCCAGGAGCAGGAGACCGTGGAGCTGGGCCAGCAGTGAGGAAGAGGATGGGATGGATCCAAACAGCAGCCTTCAGTGATGAGGTGAGGTTCACACGGGCCATACCCAGGCGCTGTGTCTAGTGAGCAGCCTGGCACGCATCTGGGACTCAGGCTAAAGACTAGGATGGCATATGGGGCGTCATCTTAACAGGACTGCGGCACCGGGTGCAGGGAGGGCAAGGACACTGGCATGGGAGACAGAGGCCACCCCATGTGTTCCGCTCCGTACACATATTTCCTCTCTTTTCCCCTTAGAACACCGGAAGAGTAGACGTCCTTAGTTCTGTTATCTAGAAATTTCTTCCTTTGGGAAGAACCGCTTATGCGTAGTACCAGGTCTTTACAAATGGCACCATGGGAAGGTCGTACATCGTGGGTAACCAGGAAGTGTCCATCCATTTGGGTTTCTGTGTACAAAAATTAACTTTTTTTTTTCCTTCTAGGGACGTCTGTTTTGCCTCTCAAGTTTCTTACAGATTTCCGGGACTACGTCTGGATGGCGTGTATGTGGGCGGCTCTTGCGAGGCAGCGGCCACCATTTGTCCAGACTGAAGATCACCTTTGTCACCGCTGAGCTTGGAAACACCCAGTTTTCTTCCTCTTGGGGAAAACAGTGGAGTTTATCCCACTGCGGTCTCACAAGAGGGACAGTTGCCCTAACCTGGAGTAACCAATCCCTGATTCTAGGCGGTGATGGGGCTTGAGTTTCACAGTTTACTTTATTTGAAAAATATGTTCCAAAGAATCACGAAGAATAGGAACAAACTAGGCTTTGTTGCCGCCGAGCGGTTTGGCCTTAGTTTGTACAGAGGAATCGTCGGGCATGAAGGCTCTGATACGAGGATGGAATCCAGACGCCCTCGCAACGGGAGGTGAAAATCCTGTTTAAGAGCGCTGAAGGTCTGGGATTTCCTTGGAATAGTCAGCTTTGTGAGGTGTGGGTCATGTCCAGGGACTGTCACCTGAGCAGGAACACAAACAACTGCATGAGAAATTTCGGATGCGTGGGGCCAACGCTCAAGACCCGATCTGCACCACTAGGGTGACGCCTGCCAGGTCTGGGTGAGCGGGGTGGTGCCTGGTGAGTCTGACCAGTGTCTGCTGATGCCAAGAATTACAAAATAAAGCCAGGACAGATACAGGGTCAGCATCTGGGTCAGCATCTGGCGATGCAAGGGAGGAGAAAGGAGGAAGCAGGGGCTCATTCTGCCATAGTCATTTTCCCAGAGTGCGAGGTAAAGATGGCTTCCTTTGTACCAAGCCTATACTAGTATCCTTATTGGGTATCACGACTGTAAGCACTCTGCCCAACTTGCTACCCTTCGCTTTGCCGTTGACCTAAGTGTACAGTTCTACTCCTTTTTTGTATGCATGGGTATTTTGCATGCACCACTTGCATGCAGTGCTCACAAAGATCAGAAGAGGGCATCAGACCTCCTAGGGTTGGAGTTACATACAGATGGTCATGAACTGCTGCCTGTGGGTTCTGGGGCTTCAGCGGTGGGCGGGGATTGGGGTGGAGGTGGGGGTGCTTCTTAACTGCTGAGTCCCTCCGCTGCTTTCTTCAAAACAAACAAACAAACAAACAAACAAAAAAAGCCTTGAGGTGTTCTAGCTTTGTTCTTGTATATCTTCAGCTAGATTGTGATTGCATTGTATTTTGAGGCCCTGTCTGGTGTAGAACTTACGGTGTAGACCAGGTTGGCCATGAACTGAGAATCCACCTGCCTCTGCGTCCCGAGTGCTGGGATTAAAAGCTTTCTTTTGAGTCCCTTATGCTTCCTAGAAACCAATCTCTTAACAATTAAGTTTGCAGACCCTTTCTCCCCGTTCTAAAGGCTGTCCCCGAATCTGCTGACTGGCTCCTTTGCCATGCTTCTTAGTTTATCTCCTTGTCTATCTTAATTTTGTATCTTTGGGGCCCTATCTAAAAAACTTCCGAGACATATATATTGAGCCACGGCTGCGGCCAGAGTCCAGGTTGGACTACCAGTTCCTACACCTAAATGGTGTCTGAAGGCAACAGCAGAATGGCAAGAGTTTGAAGTGACAGCCTTCTTCAGAGCAGCTCCCTGGACTGGCTCTGAAGCTTGTGATTCTTCATTCATGGTCTCCTGGCTCACTGATGCTCGCTGGCTCTTCCCTGTCTCCCTCACACAGTGCTGGTTCTCCTGCAGGCCTTGGGGTGGGGGTGGAGGCAGGGCGAAGATGCCAGGCGCTTCCTCTCTTCTTTCCTCTGGGTTCCTTTCCAACCATCCCTGTAATTCCTTTGCTAACCTGAGTTCTCCATCACTCCTTCTGACAATATAGCATCTCAGCATCTCCTTTGCTGCCCTGGCCTCTCTGGCAGGGCCACCTGGCTCACCCTGGCTTGCTTCTAGTCTGAATAATGAGATTGATGTGTTTGTTAGAATAGCCATTTCGAGCTGGCAGGTTCACCTTGCAAGCCCAACAACCTGACTCAGTTCAATCTCTGGAACGTTTGCTGAAAGGAGCAAACAGACTCCCTTTCCCCAATGCTGCCTTCTGACCACTGCACGTCTGTTATGGCACACACGCGTGCACATGAAAAATTGAAAGAAAAATAGTACTTGGCTTCTATTAAGAATTATTTGCCAGTTAGGAAAACATGACTTTTCTTCCTGGTTTGCTCCTATCATTCTCTACTCCTTTCCCATCTCAGGTCTTATGCTGTCTCTTCTTTCTGCCTTCCTGAGCCCACAGTTAGATTTCCCCCTACTCTGGGCCGTCCCAGGTGAGCAGTGTGTACTCCGTGTGTTTTCACAGTAGCTGGCCCTGCACACTTACGTTGATGATGTAGGACCCCGCACACTTACGTTGATGATGTAGGACCCCGCACACTTATGTTGATGACGTAGGACCCCGCACACTTATGTTGATGATGTAGGACCCCGCACACTTACGTTGATGATGTAGGACCCCGCACACTTACGTTGATGACGTAGGACCCCGGCAAGAGAAGCAGGTAGTATTCTCCAAGTTTGTTGGTTCGAAACGGGCAGATGTGTTTCCTGTCTTGGACTTCCACGATTACATTCGGCAATGGATTTCTACTCTGATCAAACACTTGACCCTTTATACCTGCAAGACAAAAGGAAAACTCAATATGAATACCAGATTTGGGGCCAGGGAGATGGCTCTGTGGGTAAAAGTGCTTGATGGGCAAAACTGAAGACCCGAGTTCAATCCTTGGGTCCCACAGTGGAGAGATAGAAGAGACCCCCTAAAAAGCTGTCCACTGGCCTCCGCATGCATCCTGGCACAATACTAATAAACGTTAAGAATTTAAAAGTAAATAAAATCTTTTATGGCTCATGGAAGAAGTGTCATCTTTAGTGATTTAGAAACATATTCCTAGTATTCATCTGTACTAACAGTGCTAAAGACAGGAGAGTAATTTTGATGCCTGTAAGTCACAGTTGCGCTACAAGCCTGGTTTGTGGCTATTCAGTCATCATCAGAGTGGAAGACCGGAAGCGAGAAGAACCCACTCCTGTCCTTTCACGCAGTTTACTCCATCAGACTGTGCTGACACATGATGGTGGCGAACCCCACCAAATCCCAAACAAAGCTCCTCACTCACAAGCTAGTTGCCAACACATAAGGACTTCGAAGGCTTGTCTTCACACCAGCAAACTGAGTGGCAGCAAAACTGTACCTGCACTGTGGCTGGAGTCCTGGAAGTGACTGAGGGGCTCTTATTTTTGGTAAGAGCAGCCAGCATTTATTGAGCAATTACTATATTCCAGGGTATACACCAGGGGCTCTGGGTACATGTTCAACAGATCTTCACACCAACGCCGCAGCATGGCAATGCTATGACCAGAATTTCACAGGGCCAAAGGAGGAACCAAGGGGTAAAATTCTTGCCTATCATTAGGCATCATAACCATGGCCACATAGCATGAGAAGCGATTGCCAAGACAAAAACAAAACGAAATATTTATTGCAAATGTGAAGAATAAGCCGCTCTGAGTGACTAAAGTAACTTCCTTTGGGGGGAGGTCCAAGGAATCAAATTCATGCCCCAAATAACCTCGTTAATCTTATAGCCAACTAAGTAGCATAGCCAGATCTTGGATGCCAGTCTCTGGAATCTCCATGAAACCCGTTATGCCCACTTCAAGACTTCAATGCCCACCCCCCCCCCCCCCCAGAGCCTCCTGTATCCCAGGAAATCCTCTTCCTTGAACTACACTAGACACATATTGCAGTTTGTCCCTCCAGTGACAAACCAGGGCACCTTAAAGTGAAGTCATTTATGTGTAAGACACAGATGAAAAGCCACCATGCTAAGCCCTCAGGCTATCTCCAAATAGCTACACTCAACCATTATTTGTCTTGGAAGAAAAACATCAGGCACACATTAAACAGCATCCTTTAGAAAAGATCGAGGGGAAAGATGGAGGCTTTGACATTTAGCAAAAGAGTCCTTATCTTGATCACTAAGCAAACTTCTGACCCAGATGGCCTTCTGGTACCTTTCCTGTCCAGTTCCTAACTCATTTCCCAGGGAAGGGGTTATCAAAGGCCGCGTTTCCTTCCCATGGTGCCTGTGGAGGGCAGCTCCGCAAACCTATTTTCACATGACTTTCCCCTCTTTGCCTTTTTATTCAGAGTCCCTTATATTTGTTCTTACTATTTACTCAGGGCGCTGAAGTTGAAAACTGAAGAGAGGCCAGTGGACCCAAAGGTTCAGAAAGACTTATGATGACAGGAGAGGGGAAAGCCAACAGTTGAAAAAGCAAAACGAAACAAAACAAAAAACCAAAAAACCACACCAGCTAGTAAGCAAAGATAACAAATCCTGTTGTCAAACCTGAAGACAGTAGGAGGGGGCAAGTTTTGCTCGGAGACACACAGCCTCCTGAGTTCTCCACGGTAGAAACTGGAATTGGGTCATTATTCAGAGTGGATGGCAGAAGAGTCCCCAGAAGAGTGTTCCTTCAAGCCTGCTGATCATGGGGCAGGCACCCTGTTCTGGATCCAACCTGATTCTGAAGCTTAGATACCTTTCCAATTCCTTAGAGCCAAACTGCTTAGTTTTTGGGGGTGGAGTACTAGGGGGTGCAGGAGGGGGGTCGTGATCCACCTTAGAGTCTGGAGAGGGCCAGGCCTGCTGCTGGCCACACTGAAATCCAGACTTAACGCCTGAGCTACTGCGGTCCGGTCTTAGCATCATTAGTTATCTTTCTAAGCCCACACCAAGTACATCATCTATAGCCCCACAATACCACGGAGCCCCGGCCACACTGAGGTCTCCTGTGAGTCCCAGCAGCCCCTCTGGAGCCACAGAACAGGCTGGCACGAAGCAGGGCAGATGTGTTATTCTCAGCCGACCACACTGACGTCTAGTGCTTCCTCGAGCCCTCAAACAGTGTGGCGTCTCCATTGGCTCCTGTGGCCAGGCTTGTGCTAGAGCAGAGGCTTCCAGATGAGACATCAGAAGCCTCCTAGCACACCGTGGAAAAACCCAGTGTGACAAAGCCCAGGGGGTGCCAGCGTCACCTACAAACGAAAGTGCAAAAGGTGCTTTGACCTCAGGCAGGGCACTATTAGGGGCTGAGACTTTCTAAGTAACAACAACTACACATCAGTAATTTGAAAGTTTCATTTTTTTAAAATCAGAAAAAAATTCTGAAAATCAGAAAAAAACATTACTCTCTTAAGCCCCTAGGGGGCAGGGTTGATTTGTTAATAAACATACTGTTCCGTGAGTTCACATCTGATTACTGGGACACGAAGATAGACAAATATTCTTGATACAATCCAATTAAATGGGCTTCTATTATTACTTCTGCACTAATACTAACAATACCGATGCTACAATTTGCGTGGTATTTATCGGGCTGCCTAGCTCCTTCACGGTCATAGGCAGGCAAATCCCGCCCCGATTCAGCACTCTGTGAGTCACCCAGACAGCCAGTCTGCAGGGAAAGCAGCGAGGTGTGAGCCATATCATGTTCTGTTAATTTCCCCAAGGATGCTGACGGAGGGTGATCTCACAGGAGTTCAGAGTAACATACTAAAGCATCAGTGTTGGGAGAGCTACGAGGGAGGGAATGATCACAGGACTCATGGGGAAAGGCCAGGGAAACCGAAAAGTCAGAATAACAGCAGAGGACCCAACAGAGCCAGTGTATAAAAGGGAGGAGGAAGAGCCAATAAACGTGCTTGTAATGTTGTGCAGATGCTGGTAAGATTGGGTCTTATTTTAAAGATTTTTACATTTATTTATTTGATGTCAGAGGCACTTGTGTGCATGGGTGTGTGGAGGTCAGAGGACAATCTGCAGGGGTCAGTTCCAGGCTGATCTCAGGTCATTGGGCATGGTGCAGACCCGTTGACCTGCTGAGCCATCTGGAGGGCTAAACTAGGCTTCTGATTGGAGATGTTGTGAGAATATGATCTTGCTTTCCTGCTCTTTTGCCAGATTTACATATTAGTCCATGTGTAAAGTTAGGGGTACTCTGGGCTTTTACACCCTCAAATCAAGTGACCATGACTCATCCTGTTTTATGAACAGCAAGGCACAGCATCTCCTGCACAGCGCAGATAATATGCATGTAGGGAGATCAAACGCTTAGTCCAGTACTGAAAATAAAGCCCTGCCACAGGTCCCCAGGAGGTTTTGTGTATGCTTGATGCAAAGATTGTACGCATGCCGTGTGTATTAACAAGTAGTAGGAGACACAAACCTAGGTGCACCTGTCTTATATATTCAATCAAAGAGGCTCTGTTATCATTCCAGAACAGCGGCAGCTTCTCTTCTCGAGGGTATTTGCAGCACGACAGCTCCAACGTGATTTCAAAACACTGGGCCCAGATGTAGTTGTAATCTTGCATTCCACCTAGAAGCAAGCACACCTCATTTGTGTTAGGGTCGCACGCTGGAGGGGGGCCAAGCGTCGCGTGCCCAGGAGATGCCAACTGTTTTCAATGATGCACCACCATCAAGTGACCCCTTTTTCATCTTCGGAAAGCCTACATTTCACACATTCTCAGTCCCACCAGTATTGGAGAAGCTCAGTTTCAACAAAATGGTGGGGAGGTGGAGAGATGGCTGGCTGCGTGTGGCGGGGGTGGGGTGGGGTGGGAAGAGCACTGTCTGAAATTACAGAGGACCCAGGTTTGGTTCCCAGCACCCATACAGGAGCTTAGGGCCCTCTGTAACTCCAGCTTCAGGGGAGCTGACGCCCTCTTCTGGCCTGTGTGGCGTAGCGCACATGTGGTTCACAGACACATGCAGGGGGAACATTCACACAGAAAATGGATAGATAAATAAATAAATGTAAACATAAAAAAAGAAAACCTCACAAAGAAAATGTCAAAATGTCAAGTAATCTATGTACACCCAGATTCTAGTAACAAAGAATTTCTCTGTCCTTTCAATTTCCTTTTTTTTTAACCTTATGGATTTTTTTATTTCTCTCTGAATCCATTTACACACACACACACACACACACACACACTTGCAAAAAACTTGCATCAAGTTTGGAAGTTTCCACACATCTGGACGTCTGTCTGGACAGTTATGGTGATCAGGAAGGGCAGCTGTGCCACAGAACAGAAGGTCCTTTATAGCGATGAAGGGGAAGTACCAGCACTATGCTGGCGGCCTGAGGTGGGGGGAACTGGTCTCAAACGGCAGAATGAATTTTAGGGTGCCTCCATGTCTGGCTGGGCCCACTGCCTGAACCATCAGTTGTGGTCTATGCTTATTGACTTCATCTGGAAAACTGGCAGTGGGCCACCCAGACACAAAAGTACCAGTTTGTGCTAGACTGCTCAACAGCCCTGCACCCCAGTGACAGCTGGGGAAGGCGCCTGTGCAGAAATGCATACTGCAGCTTGCTACTGTCTGGGAGGAAAGGCCGCTCATCTCTAGCTAGAGCTCACACCTCGTGTCCTCCCTCCCTGCATCTCTCCTTTGTTTTTCAGTAGCTAGACTAGTCCCAGTTTCTATACCCCCTGGGCTTCTGTTGACATTACTCTTTCTGGTACGTATGAGTTAAGTCATACAGTGCAGGCCTGTAAATCGCAGCTACTTGGGAGGCTGAGGCAGAAGATTTGAAAGTTCAAAGCCAGCCTATGCAATTTAGGAAGCCCTGTCTCAAAGAATGACAAAACACTTCAAATTTGCACTTGTGCATGCAAAGCTCTAGCTTCAATCACCAGTACTGCCAAGAAGACCAAACAGCAAAGGAACAGCCCTCCTTCTGAGTCCCCTTCCTCCCTCCGTCATCGCCCCTCCTTTGTGTGGCCATCTTATTCAAGGGTGGGGAAACCGGAACCCCACTCCCTGGTCCTGCCTGAGGAGCATTTCCTCACCATCTCCAGCTTCATTTATAAAAGTTGGAAGGGGACGAGCCACGTGGGTTCCACTACCCCATGGTTGTAATCAGTGGCGGCTGTCCCTGTAGGAGGGACGTCAGTGCCACCTTCCTCCAAGGTCTGCACTGTTCCCTGCCGGCGCTGGCTATGGCTGCAGACCCCTTCGCAACACCTGTGCGACTCTCTTCCCACTCTCATGGCACAGTAACCCAATTCCTGAGGGCGAGAGGCCTTTCATCTTTCTTGGCATTGTTCCTGGATTCAGGAAGCGCAGAGTCAAGGAACGAGTGTCTGCGTGAATGAAGGAGGCCATGGAAGAGAGGCACACGTTTCCACGCCCTCCAAAGCTCCAGGTCACCTCCACACTCCTGTGGATGCGGGATGGAGACCTGGCTGAGGGACTGCATTGAGCCTTAAGGCAATGGCTGGTAAGCTCACCTTGCAGCGGGTACCAGGAGTACCCGTTAGTGATACCGTTGGGGAAGTGCCGCTTGTTCTTACACTGGTCTCCCTTCGTCATATTGGGATTCCGGGAAGCATAGGTGTATGCGAGGTGTTGAAAAACGTCATCATCTGGAGTTAGACTTCGGGACAACAGCGTCCCCGTAGCTGTGTTAGAAAGACAACATCAGTCGACACAGTCACAGTGCACTTGGACAGTTTCAGTCTCCACTTCCGAACACGCCCTGTGGTAGTTTGAATTAACAGCCCCCTTAAGACCGTAGCGAGTGGCACTATTAGGAGGCAGGGCCTTGTTAGAGGAAGGGTGTCACTGTGGTTTGTACTTTGAGGTCTCTTGTTCAAGCTATGCTCAGTGCGACACTTGGTTCACTTCCTGTTGCTTGTGATCAAGATGTAGAACTCGCAGCTCCTTCTCCAGCACCGTGTCTGCCTGCACGCTGCCTTGTCCCACCATGATGATAACGAACTGAACCTCCGAAACCGTAAGCCACCCATAATTAAATATTTGCCTTTATAAGAGTTGCTCTGGCCATGGTGTCTATTCATAGTAATAGAGACCCTAAGTAATATACACCCATCTTCTTTCTTCTCTTTAACAATCAAGGGTGTTATCTCACACAATAATCAGTCTAGAAATGATGTCAGCTCTTCATCATGCTGGCCACGTCTGGAGTTAGCAGCTTCCCTTAGGTGCTGCCAAGGGTTAATAGACATCTCTGCCATAGTTTCAGTTCTTTTCAGTTGTTTGTTTGAGACAGGTTTCTATATAGTCCTGGCTGTCCCTGGAACTCGCTATGTTCACAGGCAGGCCTTCACCCGCCTGTCTCTCCCTCCCGAGTGCTGGGATTAAAGGCGTGCACCACCATGCTTGGCCCTTCAACACATCTCACAGGGTGAAAACACACGTGAGATCATTTAACGGACTCCAAAGCAGGGTTCCCAACCTTCTAATGTTGCAATTCTTTAACACAGTTCCTCATGTTGTGGCGGCCCCAACCATAAAATTATATTTGCTGCTACTTCATAGTTATAATTTTGCTTCTGTTATGAATCACACTGTGAATATCTGATATGCAGCCCCTGTGAAAATGTGAAAAGGTCGTTCAACCCACAAAGGGGCTGCAGCCCACAGGCTGAGAACCACTAGAGTCGACAGCATTCGTGAGATTAAAAAACAGAGCCAAACAAAAACGGTAAGCCATTTGGTCCTAGTTTCTTCTAGCCACATAATCTAAGTCTGTGATGCCATGTGGACCTGGCTGTAGGATTTCTCCCACGGGTTTCTTGTTACTGGCTGTCATTCAGCCACCCTGCTCATCCACTGTTTAGGAATTATAGGAACCCAGGGGGTGGTGGCTCACACCACCCAGCATTCGGGAGGCAGAGGCAGGCAGATCTCTGTGAGTTTGAGGCCAGCTTGGTCTACAGAGCAAATTCCAGGACAGTCTCCAAAGCTACAGAGAAACCCTGTCTCGGAAAACCAAAATAAATACATACATATATACATACATACATACATACATAATAACAACAATAGAATTATAGGAAGAGCTGGCCATGTGGACCAGGCTGCACAGCGCTGGCCAAGCCTGCACAAACTCTGGGTTTGATCCCCAGTATTTCATAAACCAGACCTGGTGGTATAAGCCTTTGAGGGTCAGAAGTTCAAGGTCATTCTCAGCTACATTGTTCCAGGTGTCCTGTTACACACAAACTTCATTCTTACTCCGTTTCCTCCACAAACAAACAACAACAAAACAAAAGAAAACACCCCAACAACAGCAAGGATTGCTCAGGGTTAGGGACCATGAGGCATTTTCTGGCCAGCCAGAGAAAGTTAAAGGCAGGTTGCAGAGCTCATTCCACTCCAGGGGTGGAGCTGGCAGCGGTCTGCCCGAGTGGGGCCACATCACCCACCTTGCACGCCGTTATCGAAGGGGTAACTGGCCACCAGGGCACCCCCATGGAGATTCGCAGAGAGGACAAACGTCTCAGTTTTCAGCCACTTCATGACTGCCAGTGTCTCCGGCTGCTTTGACACGTTATTACTTTCAAAGGCATCAGGGAAGTTTCTGTTTAGGTCATAATTGTTGAAATTTTCCCTTTAAAAGAAAGGATTTTGTTTATTGGGGAGTGTGGGTGTGGGGACCTGAGACTCAGGCTCCAGGTGTTTCCCAGATGTGAATACAAGTGCAGTGGATGATTGGTGTGGGGCCTCTCATGAATTAACGTCCCAGTCCCCTACTGTGTGGTCTGCTTCCTGATGGGACGTTAGCTACTGTGACACCAGCAAGGGTTGGACAATTGTTTGCCTTCTGGGACTTCTTGTTCTTGGAACACTGCCTTTTAGACATGAAGGCTACGTAGAACAATGAGGAACCCAGGTGACAACCAGAATTCAGCCAGACACTTGGCTCTAGGCTACTAGGCTAACTCTCTCAGACAGACCTGTGCTGAGAGGCCCCAGGGGGAGCAGGGACTGATATCCATCTGGCATTGTCCCCTTTTAAATTCGGGACTTCTAGAACTAGCAGTCAATAAAAAGCTCCAGTCACCATGTTGGCAGTGGCTCCTCACACAGCACCCAAGGGCAGAAGCAGGTCACTCTATATAAACATGCTTCACATTGCTGGCATGGTCATGCTTAGCCATGCTAGAAAGGTTAAAGATGAAGGGAATCCAGTCCTGAGAGTTTTCTTAGTTATTTTTGGTAAACCCACAAATTTATAAACTGCAAATATATGTGTCTATTAAGCATGGAGAAGCCCTAAACTCCCCGAGGGACTTTGAAACAAAGTACACCATCAGACCATGCTGCAGCATTCACACTTCTTAGGGTACTGGGTTAATAAAACATTGGAGGGGCTGTGTATGATGCTAGGCCAGTAGTTCTCAACCTGTGGGTCAGGACCCACTTGGGGAGGCTGAACAACTTTTCACAGGAGTAGCCTATCAGGTACACTGCATATCAGATACTTACACTATGGTTCATAACGGTAGCAACATTACAGTTGTGAAGTAGCAATGAAAATAACTTTACGGTTGGGGGTTGCAGCGTTAGGAAGGTTGAGAACCATGTCCTAGGCCAATGCCACGCTAACAGTGATAAACACAATGATAAACTGCCCTTGGTAGCTCCCAGTTTCTCGGAGAGAAAGATATTAAATAAGAAGTTAGACATTAGGGGCCCGTGTGATGGATTAACAGGTAAAGGTGACTTATGCCAAGCCCGGCGACCTGAATTTGATCCCCCGGACCCACCCACATGGTGAAGGGTGAGAATCAATTCCCACAAGTTATTCTCTGACTCTACATGTCCACCATGGCAGGTCCTGGATCATGCCCCACAAATAAATAAATCAACATAATACAGTAAATAAAAATTGTGCCATGAAGGTATGGTGTCGGATGACAGAAAGCACATAGGCCACTAAATGCAGGCTGCACAGTTGGGGAAAGGGTTTTTACAGTAAAGCGAGTTGGGCTGCTGATGCGGATGAAGAACGGAAATGGATGTACGCAGTACCTGAGCTGAGAAAGCACTTGAGAGCTCCAGGAGGAAGATTAGAGAGGCCGAACGAAGCAGGGAGGATGAGAAGTGGTCAGCAGAGGCACCATGTACCATCCTACAAGATGGAGGCCTGAAGAAGCTCAGTGCACCTGTGCCGGGCACAGGCGCTGGGGAGCTTCACTGGGAGACCAAGCCCTCTTTACCTCCCATTGCTGTAGTAACAGTCGGGCTTCTTGACGGCTTCAAATCCATCTGGGTTCATGGAAGGCATGATGTGGATCCGAGTGCTGTTGATCAGACGTGTGATGTCGGCATCGTTCCCGTGACTCCTCACCAGGTAGTCAATCAGGTGGAGCAGCAATTCCCGCCCCACAGTCTGTGTGCAAAGAAGAACGGGGCTGTTAGCAAGTCAGAAAAAACAAGGAAAACGTTCCCAAAGCACAGATCCCCTGTGGCGTCTCACATTTGCTACCTTTGATATGTGTGAGGCCACCTGTTTTCTTTCTTTTCCTTTTCCCCTCTGTCCTCTCTCTCTCTCTCTCTGTTTCTCAAGAATGGGTTTCTCCCTATAACAGCCCTGGCTGTCCTGGAACTAGCTCTTGTAGACCAGGCTGGCCTCGAACTCACAGAGATCCACCTGCCTCTGCCTCCCGAGTGCTGGGATTAAAGGTGTGCGCCACACCGCCCGGCTCTCATTCATGTTTTAAATATAAACCTCCTCTTTTTCCTTAAATTTAAGGCATGGAGTATGAAGCCTCGGGTGCTTGAACTTTGAGAGTTTGTGGTGAAATGGCCCCTCTCAGCCTAACTCCACACCGACTTTCCAGAGAATGCAGTCTTCTCAGCAGGGTCCCCAGGAATGAAGTTAGGCCGGAGACACACACACCAGCTTCTGGGATGCCCACCCCCACTCCACCCCAGCCCAGGTGACTCAACTCAGAAAGCAGAAAAAAAAATCCACATCAGTTCAGTTCAACTCAGCCAAGTGGGAACTGGCCAGGCAGGTAAAAATGAGTCTTATTCTACAAAGAACGCTTAGGAACAGTGGAGAGTTTTTTTAAAATATTTATTTATTTATTTATTTATTTATTTATTTATTTATTTATTATGTATACAGTATACAATATTCTGTCTGTGTGTATGTCTGCAGACCAGACGAGGGCAGCAGACTTCATTACAGATGGTTGTGAGCCACCATGTGGTTGCCGGGAATTGAACTCATGACCTTTGGAAGAGCAGGCAATGCTCTTAACCACTGAGCCATCTGGAATCCCCATGGCAGGTGCCAGGGAGAGAGCAAGAGGGAAGGAGGCCAGGAAAGAGCAGAAACGGGGAGGGGATGAAAGGAGGGAAGGACAAGCGCAAAAGCTTGAACTAGAGAGAGTTGTTTTTAAATTGCTCCCTGGGTGTGGTGGCGAACACCTTTAATCCCGAGACTGCCAAGGCTGAAGCAGGCGGATCTCTGTGAGTGCAAGGCCAAGCTGGACTATTGAGTTCTAGACCTGATAGGATAGCATAGTGAGACTATTATCTCAAAAAACAAACAAACCACCACACTATAAGAAGGCAGCTGGGAGTGGCAGTGGCAGAAAAAGTCTGTCAGTTTGCATTGTTACAGGTTTAGTCCATTTGACTGATTGCTTAGTCCTCCTTGGTCAAATGTTGGCCTACACAGTGTACTATCTGGCATGCTTTCTCTGGTCTCCACATCTAAGTTGTGGTCCCACTAAACTTGACGTCTCTGTTACTAACACAGATTGTAGTTCCTGAACTAAACCACCTTCCCATTCCATTGAAGCCTCCAGAACAGGGATCTTAACTGTTTTCTTCTTGACCCACAGTCCTCTGGACTTCATGCCTAGCGTCTAGCATAGCAGACATGTTGTGGAATATTATTTGAACTGAACAAAGATGTGCTACATTTGTTTCTGCTGCCATTGTTAATGATGTAAAGACGTATTATTTTTGTTTCTGCGGCATTTGTTTAATTATGAGAAGATGTGTTTCTGTTTCTCCTCGCCTGCTTAAGACACCTGATTGGTCTAATAAAAAAGCTAAACGGCCAATAGTTAGGCAGGAGAGGGCTACATGAGGCTAGCGAGCAGAGAGAATAAGTAGGAGGAGAAATATAGGCTGGGGGAAGAACAAAAGAAAAGAGAGAGGAAAGAAGGAGGGAGAAAAAGAACTGGAGACTCCCAGGGCCAACCAGCAAGACACAGAAGAATCAGGAAAAGTAGAATAGACAGGAGGAAAGAAAGGTAAAAGGCCCTGTGGCAAAATGTAGGCAAATAGAAAAAGGATAAAATGAGACTAAGATAAGGTCAAGCGCCCATAACTAATATTAAGTCTCCATGTCATAATTTGAGAGCTGGTTGGTGACCCAAAAGAAAAAGCCTGGTACACAGTCATCTAATGAACAACTGCTAATAAATTACTGTTGACAAACCCATTACAAGATCAGGACGGGGGGCTGGAGAGATGGCTCAGAGGTTAAGAGCATTGCTTGCTCTTCCAAAGGTCCTGAGTTCAATTCCCAGCAACCACATGGTGGCTCACAACCATCTGTAATGGGGTCTGGTTCCATCTTCTGGCCTGCAGGCATACACACAGATAGAATACTGTATACATAATAAATAAATAAATATTAAAAAAGATCAGGACTGTTCTAAGGAAGAAACAAGAGGGCCTAAGGCATGGGAGAGAGACGGACACTTGATAAATTCAGCCAAAAGACTTTCAGTGTTGAGCAGATTTTGTAGAGTGAGAACTGATAGCTCTCCTACAGCAAGAACTTGGGATACCTGGTCCCTTTAGCCGCAGGGAGAGGGAGAAAGGGCAAGAACTTGGGATACCTGGTCCCTTTAGCCGCAGGGAGAGGGAGAAAGGGCAAGAACTTGGGATACCTGGTCCCTTTAGCCGCAGGGAGAGGGAGAAAGGGCAAGAACTTGGGATACCTGGTCCCTTTAGCCGCAGGGAGAGGGAGAAAGGGCAAGAACTTGGGATACCTGGTCCCTTTAGCCACAGGGAGAGGGAGAAAGTGCTGCGCACGAGCAGTCTACTAGCACATACTCCAAATCAGTTAGGTGCTTCATCTGGAATAATCATTAGTTCCCTCCGAATCCCCAAATGAGGAATTCTCCAAACCTGTGGGGGCCAGCCGTGATAAGCTAAGTCTGGGCAGGCCACCCAAAGGAAGTTCTTTACTTCCAACCATTATCACCTGGGACTCTGACCATCGACAAATTTAATTAGAGGTCTGAGTCTCAGAGTTTACCCTGAGACAATGCCTGGCTGCAGGAGGAACCACAGATTGCCCCATCCCCACCCAAGAGCACACCATTCAAAGGAAATGCCTGGCATTCCAGGAGCTGTAGATAAAGACACCTGCCAGTGCACCTCAATAGGACACCCCTAGACAAATGTCAGCCAATCAGGGCCCTAAATCTCAGACACCCTTCACCCCCACCTTTACTACTATAAAAACCCAATTCTAATTGAGTTCGGGGCTGTCCGGTTATTCCAATACGTTGGACATGCCGAGAGACTGAGTTTGCAAACTTGATTAAAATAAAAGCTCTTTGCTTTTACATATGGGACTTGGTTTCCTTGTTGGCCTTGAGGGGACTTCGTGGATTTGGGCATAGCAAACCCACATTGCCTACATGAGAGTGCATGACAGTAATAGGAAAAATATCCTGGAAGTGACATTTGGAAGGAAAAATTTTACTATTTGGTTTGTTTTAATAAATGTGGAACCCTGACCATTGAACTACACATCTTCCAGGCTGTCTCAGTTTATTTTCTACTGTTGTGATAAACTGCATGACCAAAAGCAACTTGGGGAAGAAAGGTTTTAATTCATCTTAGAGCTTGTCATCCATTATGAAGGAGGCCAGGGCAGGAGTCTAGAGGCAAGAACTGAAGCAGAGGCCGTGGGTAGTGTTGCTTACTGGCTTGCTTATACCACCTGCCCAGGGGTGGCACCATCACAGTGGGCTGGACCCTCCCAAATCGATCATCAATAACAGAAGTAATGGTATGAAATGTGATGGCGTTTTCAAGTCTATAGCAAACAAACAACCGTGGTAAAAAAAATTCATTGCTGTGTACTATGGACACATGTGATATAAACTTCAGAAACAAAATAAAACTCTCATGACTGACCCACCACTAAAAAAAAAAAACCAGAACTGCAATCCAGTTAAACTTAATGAATATTCACCGAGTATTTATTTTTACAATAATTAGAGCATAGGCCCTGAGGTCAAGGGAACCTGAGCTAGTTCCCTCTCCTCTGTTGCTGGGTTAGCTGAAGGCTTGGCACTGGATTTTTCAGCACAGTGGTGACCTGCTTTGGTCCCCCCTCCGAAGAACAAGTAGAGATGGTTTATGAAACAAGAGATTGTGTATCTATCTCAATATTGTCCATAAAAATTTAAAAGCACAGGCTAGAAAATCGGAACAAAACAGTGAAAGGAACTTGTGGAAGGAATGGGGGTCCCTCCCAATGCTTCTCTCTGAGGCTAAGGACATTAGACATCCTGGTGTCCTTCAGGCAAGCTTGATTTTAATTGGTTGTCCTTTTCTCCAAAGAAAGCAATTGTAGAATGAAGTGCATGCATGTGCATGTGTGCATTAGTTCAGGCGTGTGTGGTAACGGTGGGCAAAGTATCGCCCCTGACATATCATGCATGCACCTCACACGGATGCGTGTGTGCGTGGTAATGGAGGTAAAAGCCCCTCTGACAGTCTCAAGGTGCCAGGAGAGTAGAGACTGGAGAAATCTACATCAAGATTAACATCTGGAAGAAGCCAGTTGGCAGGAAAAACAGGAAGTCCTTGCCCTTCTGGGCTACATGAAAGGAACAGAACAAAACCTACCGTTTGCAGAGGCAACCAGAGATCTTAGTGAGCTCATGCCCAGTCAGTGTTAGCTGCTGCTCTGCCTTGTAAAGATCCGTAAAGAGTTAGAGCTAACTGGTTAGAGCAGCACTCGGAGCCAATGTCACAGAAAAGACACGAGACAACAGCACAGTCACTGAAGACGAGCGAAACACCCACACTTGGGGCTCATCTCAAGTACATCCACCTGAACTTTGCAAGGAGAGACATAAAAATGTACAAAGTGAGAATGGGCTTTATAAAACCCTTACTTCCTATGTAGCAACACCCGTCTGCAAATGGCTATTTTAAGTCCCGAGTGAAAGCTAGCTCAGCTCAGCATCAGCCGAATTAGCTCTGAACAGTTCCTAAGATGCACATTAGCCAAACATATTTCACGTGCGTTGGCAAATGCTTGTGTTTTAGTTTCACTTCATTGCGCTGATAAAACGCCCTGACAAGAAGCAACTTAGGGAAGAGGGGTTTAGCAGGCTTCCTGATGGGGGATTCCCTCTGTCTGCTGTGAATACCATTGGTTAATGAATAAGAAACTGGCTTGGCCTATAGCAAGGTAGAACTTAGTTGGGTGGGGAAAACTAAACTGAATGTGGGGAGGAAGAAGGCAGAGTCAGGGAGAAGCCATGCAGCCCTGCCAGAGACAGATGCCGGTTGGAATCTGGCCTGTAAGTCACAGCCCCGTGGCGAAACACAGATTAATGGAGATGGGTTAATTTAAGATATGAGTTAGGCAGAAAAACACGTAAGCTATTGGCCAAACAGTATTGCAAATAATATGGTTTCTGTGTTATTATTTCGGGGCTCAGCAGCTGGGAACAAAGAGGTGGCCTCACACCACGGCTTACAGTTCCAGGCTACAATCGTTTTGGAGAAGACAAAGCAAAGGACACAAGGAGACCGCCACATCACATCCACAGCCAGGAGCTGGAAGCAGGCATGTACACACACTCACTTGCTTGTTTGCTTGTGCTTAACTTGGCCCCTCACTCTGTAGCCCCAGCTGGGCTGGAACTCAGAGATCAGAGGTTAAAGGTGTGAGCCACCCTTCCAGGCACTTCTCCATCCTTACATAATCAAGACTAGGGAATGTTGCCGCCCACAGTGGACAAGGTCCTCCCTTATTAACTTAATACAATCCCTAAAGACACGCCCACAGGCTAACTTAATGAACACAAACCTTAAAGACACGCCCACAGGCAAACTTAATGAACACAATCCTTAAAGACACGCCCACAGGCAAACTTTATGAACACAATCCCTAAAGACACACCCATAGGCTAATTGAATGAACACAATTGTTTTTTTTTAAAAAATATTTATTTATTTATTATGTATACGATATTCTATCAGTGTGTATGCCTGAAGGCCAGAAGAGGTCACCAGACCCCATTACAGATGGTTGTGAGCCACCATGTGGTTGCTGGGAATTGAAGTCAGGACCTTTGGAAGAGCAGGCAATGCTCTTAACCACTGAGCCATCTCTCCAGTCCATGAACACAGTTCTTAAAGGCACACCCACAGGCTAATTTAATAAACACAATCCCTAAAGACACACCCACAGGCTAACTTTATTAACATAATCCTTAAAGGCACACCCACAGGCTAATTTAAAGACACGCCCACAGGCTAACTTTATTAACACAATCCTTAAAGACACGCCCACAGGCTAACTTTATTAACACAATTCTTAAAGGCATGCCCACAGGCTAACTTTATGAAAGGTTGTGACAAGTTGACAATTAAAGATAACCATTACACCTTGAATCTTACTTTTAGAATTAAGTAGCCAGGTGACAAGGGCCATAGTAACACTGTAAGGAAGAACTCCAGAATGTGGGTTCTGCATAGGAGACCATTAAACTGGCCTCTTCTTTAAGCCTAGTATCATAAAAAGATTCTTTTTTTAATTTAATTTTTTTAAAAAACAAACTATTTTTTTCATTTTACATGGCAATCCCAGTTCTCATTCCCTTCCCTCCACCTTCTCCCCACTCCACCTCCATCCACTCCTCAGAGAAGGTAAAGCACATGGTTTTGGGGAAGGACCAAGGCCCTCCCTACTATATCTAGGCTGAGCAAGCTATCCCTCCAAAGAGAATGGGTTCCCAAAAAGCCAGTACAAGTAGTAGGGATAAATCCTGGTGCCACTGCCAGTGGCCTTACAGTCTGTCCCAGCCATACAACTGTCCCCCATATTCAGAGGGTCTAGTTTGGTCTTATGCTGCTGGTTCCTTTCCCCCACCCGAGCCATCTCCCTGGTCCTGTAAAGTTACACAGTTTTCAAAGGAGGTGTTAAAGAGACAAGGTGGAAATTCATGGAGGGATGGATGGACACAGAAATGGGCCTTGATGCCGCAACTAATCTCCTCAAATACAGAACCAATTATGAACCACCCCTCCATGTGGTGGTGTCTAGAGGAGAGGAAATGTCCTCAAAAAATCCCGTGCTACATTTGTTCTGCCGCGCCGCTCGGTGTATATATACCCCTCCAGGAATCCACCATGAGGTCCTGAATGACAGGAAACGCTAAAGATCCTGGGGTCAGGACCAACCGCTCAAGATGCTGCTTTTCAGTAGGACTGAAGTCATCAAGAACAGAAAATACTTTCAGTCCCAAAAGTTCTAAGAGGGACATGGTGGGGCAGGCTCAGCTTTATGCTCAGAGTCAGACCTCTGCTGCCCGGTCTCCAGCTCCTGGAGGCATCAGTAGGAGGGCAGAATACCCAAGACCTCAATACATCTCTTTAATAGGCCCGCAGAGCCCACAGCCACGAGCCGGGACGTAAACGGCATTCACAATACTTCAGACCCCCACTCAGAGCACACGAAGGCTTTCTCCGCCATCCCTCCACGCCAGGGAGGGCCTGGGTTAGATGGGACACAGTGACGCCCCGAGAGACGATACTGAGTTTATGAAGGCACACAGAAAAGTCAAGCATAGCCAGGCAGGCAGGCAGGCCAGAGACCAGCAGCCTGTAACCTCGGAATCCCGGGGAAGTCAATGAGTAACTTCCTGGAGCCAATGAGTGCCATCTGTCTCTTATTAAACAAGGATTCCAGGAGCCCTTCCTTGATCGATAGACTAGATAGCAGAAAAAAAAAAAAAAAAAAAAAAAAGAAGCCTGGGCCGCTCTGTGTAACAAACAATTTTGGGCAGATTCCCAGCAACATAAAGTCTATTAAAAAAACAGACCATTATGATTAAACAAACAAAGAAAAAATTAGTCGTATTGTTCTTTACCCATCCCAAGCCAGTTTCCTCTCTTGCAAGCGTGTATTTGCATCCTCTCAGCAGGACGGGTTGGGTGACATGCTTGGCGAGGGTTGGCCGTATGTGTCATAAAGGGAGGAGCCCAGGTCCTATGGAACCAGAGCTTGAGGAGGTTAAATCAGGTCACAGGGTCCAGCCTTGCTGAGAGCATCCCACCCAGCTAGTGCAAATGGTTCGGTATCTAGCAGCCTGTGCTTCCTGCCATATGCACAGACACTGGAACCCCTAAAGGCTAAATATGCCCTTTATTTAGGGAACTTTATGTATCCCCTATCAATTTCCTTTACTGCGGCAACTGGGAGCTCCCCTTCCTTCCTCAGTTGTGTGGAGTCCTGGTATACAGAAAACAACAAAAGTTTTCAAGGTGGAAAAGAGGCAGACATCTTCAACAGTCCTACTGGCCCGGGTGGTTTTCGTCAACTTGATACAAGCTAGGATCACATGGGAAGAGGGAACGTGAGCTGAGAAAATACTTCCATTTGATTGGTCTGTAGGTTAGTCTGCAGGGCATTTTCTCGAGTGAGGACTGATGTGGGAGGGTCCAGTCCACTGTGCGGGGTGCTAACCTGTAGTGGCATTTCACTTGTATTTTAATAAATAAAGATGCCTGAGGATCAGAAAATCATGAAACAGCCCCACTGGTCAGCCTTACAGACCAAGCAGCAATGACACACGCCTTTAATCCCAGTAGCCACACGAGCTGCCATAGAAACCAGGCGGTAGTGGTCTTTAATCCCAGAACTAGAGTGGATTATAAAATGGGAGGAGTCAGCTCTCAGACACAGTCTCACTCTGAGATTCCTGGAGGCAGGGTCGCCATTTCGGACTGAGGTCAAAGTAAGAGCCAGTGATTGGCTGCTTTGCTTTTCTGATCCTCAGACAAGATTTAATTATTGGTCTTGGGACATAAGAGAAAGGGAGCTGACTGTGAGCTAGAGAAAGAGACTGTTGCAGGGCAGTGGTGGCGCACGCCTTTAATCCCAGCACTCGGGAGGCAGAGGCAGGCGGATCTCTGTGAGTTCGAGGCCAGCCTGGTCTACAAGAGCTAGTTCCAGGACAGGCTCCAAAGCTACAGAGAAACCCTGTCTCAGAAAAGAAAGAAGAAAGAAGGAAGGAAGGAAGGAAGGAAGGAAAGAAGGAAGGAAGAGGGTGCAAGCAGCTTTCCTTCAAGATCTCTGCTTCAGTTCCTGCGCTGAAATCCTGCCCTGACTTCCCTCAATGACCTGGAATAACCTTTTTTTCCCCCCTCCAAGTTGCTTTTGGTCATGGTTTTCATCACTGCAAAAGAAAACACACCAAGGCACCAGTCATTCTTGTAAGAGTGGCAGAAAGGCATTGTGTGGAACAAAATAAAAACAGTGTTTGTCTCCTGTAATCTGGAAAAGATGATACTAAGGAGTCTAAGCGTGATCATCGAATGGTGGGCTGGAAGGAACGCTCCTTGAAAGCACTGGAGCGCTGACAGACAGCTTCAAACGCCATGTTTGTGGGCTGGAGGAACAGCTCAGGGATGAAGTAGTTGCCTCGAAAGCATGAGACCTGGTTTAAATCCCCAGCACCATAAACGAATAAAGATTAAAATCAAAAATTAAAACTAAAAATGCCAGATGCCGGGCGTCTGGATGGCTATTGGTGTCTTCTCATTGCCTCTAGTTCAAGTGCAGCAGAACTCTGTGCTGAGTTCCTAGATGTCGACAGGAGATGGGGAACCAACCCAGAAAGGAGCTGAGGGACAGGGCTGGAGGCAGCTCGGAGAGTCCCGACACAAACATCTCCGGTTACTCTCTCAGGGGACCAAATTCACAGCCACACTGTCTGATGCTGCAAGAACTGGCTCCCTCAGTTTCCTCACAGGCCTCCCTCCCAGAGAAGACCTCTCGGGCCCTTGCTGCTCGACTACGACGCATGATACTTGTCCAGGTTTCTTGTCAGTGTTGACACAGACCACAAGAAACCTGAGGGGAAGTTTCTCGCAGATATTCACACCGGGTACATACCTCATCCCCATGCATATTAGCCACGTATTTGAATTCTGGAATGCCAACTCTGTGTTCCTTTGGAGACTGCCCCACAACGAGAACCCACAGGTTTCTACCTTCAGAGAGAAGGAGAGAAAAATAAGTTATCTTGTAAAATGACGAATGAACTCCAAAAGGACGAGAAGGGAAGCGCTTCTCCCCCCTGGCGACTTTACAATTTCATGGTGACTTATGTTCATGTGACGAGCGTTTCCATGCTTCAGATGCTCATTATTCACTGCCAGAATGAAAAGAAACTCAACTTATTAGAAGCATTTATTATTGTAGAATGTAATTTAAAAGAGCAGTATATTAGGTTACATGGATCTTACTTTCCAAGCGTTTATAGACTGCGTTCTGGGATCCTAGTGCCTTGCAGCAACAGCCTTGCTAAAACACACAATTATACGGGGAAGTCAGTTGATGGTTGACTGGAAGAGCGCCATAACTTATCAGAAAAGAAAGTAAAGACAGAAGGAGCAGTGAAACTTGTAATTCAGGAGGGAGAATTTTTTTTAAAAAATAAGAAAAGTCTTGTATTCAAGTGCTGATGTGGCCTTGGCTGTACCTTCTGTGTTGTCACTGGTTTTTTCAGTGGTGGAGAATTCAGCTGAACTCCGCACACCACCAAGGCATGTGCTTTGCCCGTTGAGGTACATCTCACCCTCTCCTTGTTTTTTTAAAGAAGTTTTATTTATTTTTATTTTATTTATATGAGTGCTTGCTTGCATACACACTGCATGTACATATGTATGTATACTTCTTATATGCATATACATTGCATGTATGTATACCTCATGCATGTATGCATGCATGTATTCCTTTTTTTTTTTCGAGATAGGGTTTCTCTGTAGCTTTGGAGCTTGTCCCAGAAGTAGCTCTTGTAGACCAGGCTGGTCCTTGAACTCACAAAGATCTGCCTGCCTCTGGAGTTCTGGAATTAAAGGAGTGCGCCACCACTGCCTGGCGCATGTATTTCTCTTGTATGGTGTTGGATTCCCTGAAACTGGACTTGCAGATAGTTGTGAGCTGCCGTGTGGGAGCTAGGAGTTGAATCCAGGTCCTCTGGAAGAGCAGCCAGTGTTCTTAACTATTGAGCCATCTCTCTAGCCTTTCCTTTGGTGTTTTTGAGCTCAATCTGACCTTAAACTCCCAAATCTTCTATGTAGGTCTCTCAAGTGCCAAGATGACAGGCATGCATTGCCATGCCTTGCTTTGGCTGTGCCTTTGAGTCTATTGAGTTCTGTCAAGTAAGCCAGAAACCACAGCCCAAACGAACAATGCCAAGGAAAGCTTGCAAGTCCCATTTCAACCACAGACTGATATTTAGGCAAGCAAGGGCAGAAGCAAGATCACCGAGGCTGTGCATGTGGCAGGCATAGCTGGTGCTCTGTGTTATGTAATATTAAATGCTTTCTTGTCATGAACCACTGAGTTAGACTGCCAATCAAACTTTACAAATGAGAAGCTATTATACAAACTGCTATGATCACACAGCCAGTAGAGATGATGACTTGACTCCCAGAGTGAAGAACTGAATCCTGGCCATTTGGACTTCAATTCTAGTACTTCCCCAAGCAACAAAAAGACTCCTCTTTAAGGGGATAAATTTCCAAGCTTACCAGCAAAATTAATTAATTACAAAATTAAGAAGTCAAGCCAGGCATGGGGGTGCATACCTGTAATCCCAGCACTCAGAGACTGATGTAGGAGGACTGCCATGAGTTCAAGGCCAGCCTGAGCTACATAAGCAAGTACCAGGCCAACCATGGTCATATAGCAAAAAGCACTGCCTTAACCTGCTTTCCTACCAATAAACCCAGATTAAGAAGTCTCTTTTGATTTTAAAATAGTCTAGCTCTTTTAATACAGATAAAATAACATGTAAAGTGCTACATATTTATGCAAATATGCATAAATATATATATACACAATTCATGTATCTATGATAACTGCGATATATGCAGAATTTAAGAGCCTAGGAAGGGAGTTAAACAGCAACAAGTGAGCTAACACTGAGCTGGTGTCTGCAGATTTTCATAGCTAGTTCCTTCAGGCAGGGACACCTAGGCCTGAGGAATGCTCATTGTCCTGAGGGACTAAGGGGAAACACATATTGGACTCACAGTTTTCAGGATTTACTCGTAATTAATTGGAATAAAACCTTGAGGGAAGACTGCCATGACAGGGCAATGCTTTAAACTCAATAAAACTGCAATTCTTAGAAAATACCTAGAATGTGGTTTAGATGATTAACAGTCCCCACGCTATGCAGAGTTCTCTTCATCCATCCATCCATCCATTCGTTCACCGACTTAGCTAGGCCACTATATCAAGCCATCTATTTACCCTAATTCAGGGTGAACAAATAAGTCAGGCTGTACACCATTTGTTTTCACAAGGGTGCCAGGAATTGAGTCCAGTGTGCCAAGTCCTTGTTCTTCCACTGAGTTATACTTGCAGCCCTAAATTTCTGACTTAGTGAAGAAAAGCAATAAAGAAACATAATTACAGCAGTGTGGTTTGTATAACATTAGAGACCCGTGTAAGGGCTGCTGTGTGTGTAGAATGAAAGAATCAAAGTGTATAGTGTATATATATAGAGAGAGTGTATAGTGTTACACTCTATAGGGCTTAGCGCAGGATGCTTCTGAACACAATTCTAGAGAATGACTCTGGGTTTGCCCCGTGGAGAGGAACAAACCCATCCCATCTTTTCTCCACCTGAAATCAATTAACTAGAACTTCTCCATTCCCACTGGTGCCAACTGTCTGGTCATCTGGAACTTCAATCCTACAAAGTTGACATTTTTATAGGAAAAAAGTTGTTATTTATTATTTATTTGATGAGGGTGATGTTAATCATAGTTCTTTGACTTTGTTCTGAGAAATGCTTCTAGGTAATCCCAGATTTGTATTGAGCAGTAAGGGGAAAATTCAGTACCATCTCAACAACATATTTGTCGGCTGTTGTTCGTCTCTGGCTTGTTACAAACATGATAGTGAACAACGACAAAAGTCTCGTTCTTGAAATGGACACCCAATATCATTTAGTACAAAGGAAAGAAAATCAAATCAATCAAACGTAGAGAAAAAAAATACTTCATTGGGAAACTCAATCCCACTTTTGGTGTGGATGACCTCTAAGTGAACTGCAAGATAAGAAACCTTGAGTGACTTCAGTGGCTCCAAGTCTGAGAACTGAGAGCGAGGGAGCAATCAGTCACCTGGAGAATGCGTAACCCTTGGGAATGAGGTCCCTCTTTTTTTTTTCTTAAAGAGCATCAGATTTTTTTTTAATCATAAGGAAATCAGAAGGTGCAAAAGGAATAAGGAAAATTAACCCTGTAGAGGCATTACCGACAGCCACAAGATAAGTTTGAACACAATGGGGCCTCAGGGTCAAATGGATATTACGAATGACATACTTTGAGCCTATTGATTATCCAGGAAAAGAACTGGGTCCAATAAAAGGTTATCTGGGCAGGGTACCCTGTTTCTATACCCTAGCAAAAAGATATCTAAAGTAGGAATTTCAGAAAAAGCACTACAAGAAACAAAAAACAAGGTCTAGGGTGGGAAGGTGGATGAGGTCCCTCTTAAAGGGCTTCAACTACCCTCTCTCCCAACACTGGGCCCTCTAGGGTAGACTCAAGTAAGCAAACAAGAGACAAACCCCTTGCTTTTAACCATATACTTGCCAAAGTAAATAAGAAAGTTTTTCCCCCTAGTAAGGTTGGAAATACTTATTTCCCAGTTCTAGAAAATAACAGGGGTACACAAGAGATCTGAGTTAGCAGGGAAGATTAGTTTCACGAGTGAAAAAAGTGCTTGCCATGCAATCCTGACCTCAAGTCATGGTGGAAGGAAAGAACCAACTCTTTCTCCTTACCACCGAGGACATGAAACATGGATTCAAATGTCTCAGTATCTGATTTACTAACTTGGGTTTGACAGAAATCCTGGGCTTGTGACATGGGTGCTCAACTGAATTTGTATGGAGAATCAGAAAAAGATTTTTTATTTTGTTTTTTTTGGGGGGGGATGCTAAGAAGTTAAAGTTAATGGCTAAACAGTGTTTTAATGAATCCAATTTCTGTGTGATTATTTCAGGGTTAAGCTAGCTGGGTGGCTGGGTCAAACAAGCGGCCCCTCCCTACAACAGGGGGCAGGGATTCTCTGTGAAACAATCCTGGTTGTCCTGGAACTCACTCTGTAGACCAGGTTGGCCTAGAACTCACAGAAACTGCCTGCCTCTGCTTCCGGAGTGCTGGGATTAAAGGCGTGCGCCACCAATGCCTGGTGGATCAGGAAAATATTTACAGTTTAGAAACAGTCATTGAAAAATAGAAGTTGGGCCGGGAGGCACAGGCAGGTGAATCTCTGTGAGTTCAAGGCCAGCCTGGTCTACAGAGCAAATTCCAGAGAAACCCTGTCTTGAAAAACCAAAAAGAAGTTGAGATGGGAGATTGTTCAGTGGGTAGAAGTGCCTGCCACTAACCCGATGACCTGAGTTTAGTCCCCAAAACCCACAACGGAAGGACAGAACCGAGTCCTAACAGTTACCTTCTGACTTCCGCATGGATTTCAGGACACCTGTGTGTCTATGCATATTGTAGGAGGTCGCTTGTTCGTTTCCTGGCTGCCCAGACTCCCCCCCAAAAAATCACGCAGAAACTATATTATTTAAATCACTGCTTGGCCTATTGGTTCTAACTTCTTATTGGTTAGCTCTTACATCTTAATTTAACCCATTTCTATTAATCTCTGTATTGCTACGTGGCTGTGACTTACAGGTAAGGTTCGGCATGTCTGTCTCTGGAGGGGCTACATGACTTCTCTTTACTCTGCCTTCTTTCTCCCAGCATTCAGTTTAGTTTTCCCTGTCTAGTTCTGCTCTGCCCTATCAACAGGCCAAGACAGTTTTTTTATTCATTAACCAATAAAAGCAACATATATACATACCACATGCACACACAGATAACATATACATCTGTACACATAATAACAATGAATAGCTTTTAGATTTTTTATTTATGTGTATGGTGTGTTTGGCCTGCATGTATTATGCATTATG